TTGTCGGAGAAAGTAAGGAGCCGCGTTTGACGCGTGTATCCGTCGAAATTGTATGCTCCCGAGTTCCTACCCATCGCAGATGTGGCGACGTGGCTCAGGCGACCGGACGATGCGTCGCGCGTCGTCCGGATTTTCTCTCCCGGGCGTACATAAATGCGCGCGAGACTTTCGTAGCCGAGCGCTCCTGATTGACGAGGCCGCGCGAACGCGCGTTATGTCATCCCGCGAGGAAAGTAAATTATCCGAAGGCTCTGTGGTAGTTTACAAAACTGGTAAGAGGCCAGTAGCAGAGAGCCGTTGCCGCTGTATATCGAACAACCTGTCGCAACGCTCGCGGCGATAAAGTTTTCGAATACGCTTCGTGGAATTTAACGAGGATTAACTATTGGGTGTTAAACTTAATTTTAAAGGATTTTTTTTTTTTTTTGTAAAAATGAACGTGTTTATTTCGAAACAAAGTGACAAATAGATGTTATTCAAAGTATTGTCCATCGTCAGCTACAACTTTTTCCGCTACAATCTTTCTAGTACGTAAAAGGTTTTGTTTTAACAAAACAAAATACTTGGTTGTCTCAACTAAATATGTTTTTCTGCTTTGTTCTCCGGACTAAATGATTTTGTTTTTAGACTTTATATGTAAAAAATAAGCATTTTAGTTATTTTATCCTTAAAATTACATAATAACGAAATATTATTTTACACAAACTAAAATAATGCCCAATGGATGGACTATTTTATCTTTCTGTGCACTAAAATTTAGATTTTATATATTAATAAAAAATTATAGTATTTTTAATAAAATTCATATAGTTAAAGCTTTTTGGTTGCTGTGACAAAAGTATTACGTTATACAAACAAACCGTAATCAAACAAGATATTTGTTTACAGGAACTAAACAGTTTTGTCGGGCGTATTTTAATCAAATTATTTTGTTGTTACAACAAAATTTTGGTTCACGCAACAATACATTTTTCCTAATGTGGTTATCCATGAATCGAGCCATTTTTTCTCGAGCATATCTTCTAAAGAACTGAAGCGAAAGGACAGAAAGGTGATTCTGCATGGATCGAAACAAGTGGAAATCAGAAGTAGCAATGTCTGGTGAATACGGCGGGTGGGTGGGATAGGACATCCCATCATCCCGAGCAGCTATAGCGTTTCCTTCACCGGTTTAGCGACGCGGTGGCCGAGCGTTGTCAGGCTGGAAAATCACCCTTTTGTCGTGTCTTTTGGCGTATTCTGGTCGTTTTTCTTTCAATTCTCGGCTTTCAGTTCAGCCGTACTAGTTGTTGTCGATAACGTAATAGTTTCGCCCAGTAATAGTTTCGCCAGGTTTTAGCAGCTCATAATAGACCAAGAAAACCAAAAATCTGATCCCACCAAATACAAAGCAAATAAAAAGCATTACCTTCGAACGATGGATAAGTGGAAAATTTCTACTTTTGAATCGTCTAAACCAGTGGACTCACAAGTTGTGACCGATGGATCATAATCCCCATAAGCTTCGGACAGCGAACGAAGACTGTCAGCTGCCGATTCCTTCAAAATGGAAACAAAAAAGTAACGCTTCCCGCAAATTGCGTTTTGTTGGCACAAAACTCGACATATTGAACGCGCTAAAAAAATATGTTATTTAAACTTGGACCAAATGAGATATTCTGACTGATTCTTAAAGCCTTAATGACAAGGCTTTCATACGAAGTTGGCTTCAGTATGGGTAGATGCCATTAAGTGCTCATTGCAAAAAGTTGCTTCGACAAGAAACCAGGAAACTAGTCGAGTGAACAAGCAAGTAAAATAGGAAGAAAAAAAGAGATCGATCGAGGAGTCACCTTATGCGCGCGCGCGCTCGCCTTACGCGCGATCTCGAGCGTTTGTTCCGCGCGCTCGTGCCGGTCCGTGGCCCGCGGAGCTTTCTTTTCATTTCGTCATTACACCTATGCGAGCCGTCACGTTAAAGACGCCCGTCCATACTTTTATTCCGTAGAAAGAAGTGCCGAAGTTCACGATCGACTTTCACTCGGTCGCCGTCGCCGTTCGGCTTCGGGTATGCGCGCCGCCGGCTCGCCCGGGCCTACTTTGCTCGCGTATTATAATTAAGTGCTAGCCGGACAGACCCACACACATACACACACACACACACACACACATACCGGACATCGGCGATCACAGGATCTTTTGTATCTTGTAAGCTAGTAAAAAAAGTATCACGATGCTAGGCCCGAGCTCACGTTGCGTGTACATTTTGAATATTTATATTCAACGAAATCGATGATAAACTTCCGTGATCCTCGCTATTAATAGCCCGCCGTGACGGCCGTGGCGGCGATTTCTCATTCGTTTCCGAGAGCGAACGCTTTCCAATAAAATAAGCTCTACCGGGAATTCTATGCTCGTCTTGTACGGACGACGAACGGGCCACACGTCGTTGAATGTTGCGTTGCTTTGTTCGTACATCAGTCGAACCTAACCGTCGTGAGGAACTCGAACCTGTCGAATGACGACAGGTCGTCGGATAAATATTAATATAAATTTAATATCTCTATCGTGTTGTACACCGTACGGCTCATGAATAAAAAATATCACGGAGTGATCTTGGCGCGAGGCGTTCGTCCCGACGCACACGTCTCTCGAATCCGTGCATTGCACAATCCGCTCTTGCTACCGTTATGTCATTATTACCGCCGTGTCAAAAGGCAAAAAAGTGAAAGCGCTGGAGCCCGTGCGACGGGGGGCAGGGAGGGGGGAGGGGGGAGCGGGCGGAGGGCGCGAGAGAGAATTTTGTGGAACCGCATTTTTCTTTCGCTTGCACGAGCGATTCGCGCGCGCGCGCGATTTCTCGTTTTTAATGACTCCCTCCCCCTGCTCTCCCTCGCCGACCCCCCGGACGCCCGTGATTTATGACATCGTGACTTCTTATCGCACCTGTGCGTTACGTCGTCCGTGGAAGTTTATATGTCCGTTTGTATGTCCGTCGTCGTTGCGCAACGTCTGCATCGAATTTGCGGGGCGAGCGACAGAAGCGACGGAAAAGAAGCGAAAGAAGCGCATACTTTTGTTCCAAACGACAGTGTCCGTCATGGGACTTTAGCGTCGCGACTGGGAAAACGACTGGCCTCGACGACTCTCGAGAATGCCGTGAAACACCAGTTATTCCCTTCGTGAACCAATTTTTGCCGCCGCGCGACCGCGAGATCTTTTCAAACGCACGACGAACGTACAATTTCTTTTCACCTTCCCGCCTCGGTTATGCATTATTCACGGCTATTCGCAACCGGTGCGTCGCGAAAACAAAAATCTACAGCCGTTCCAAGGAGTACCGATCCGACGAGAGATTTGTGTGTACGGTCTCTACGTACATACGCATCGAGATCTGCCTACTTAGAGAGAGAGAGAGAGAGAGAGAGAGAGAGAAGGAGAGAAGCAGAAGCTCGTGTTGTCCCTTTTGCTCGAGCGACACATTGAAAAATGGCATCATCGCTCCGTGTCACACGTCGTTCATTTCTCATGCGTAAGCAGCATTCTTATTGCGTGCGCGCGCGTTCATTCGTCACTCAGTCGTTCAGTAATCGCGACAACAGCAGACAGCATTGCAGCGTGTACATATTCAATCGGCAGCTGATTACACGCGAATTACCGGCGAAATTCCCGAGAGAAAGAGAGAGAGAGAGAGAGAGAGAGAGAGAGAGGAAAAGGTGGGGAAAGGAGACGACGCGACACAGCAAACACCATTTTTCCGGTCAGCAGGATCAAAACACCGGTGACACGAACACGTCGCCGTCCCGTTAATGAGAGACGCTCCGGGATGACGGCAGTCCCGTCTTCGTGGAAACGCGGCCTCGAGCCGGCGGAATATTTGCTTTGCTTCATTGTCGTCTCTTCGAGACGAACGAAGAGGACGCGCGACGGCGCGTCCTGCCGGCCGCAAGAGCGCGCGCGGCATCGGCGTCTCTGTTTCTTCCGCGGCAAGGACGCCGCGCATTAAGCCGAAGGCGTACACACGGAGTGCATATTTCTTTCCCGCCCGTGTTAATTGGCCGAAGGTGCTGCGTGTTTGCGTTCGGAGGATACGCCTGTCCGCGAAGTCGATCGAGCTCGCCAGTATCGTTCTCGAGCTCTCTGGTCGCTTCTAAGCGCGGAAACGAGATTTTTTGCGAACCGGACCGCGGACGTCATCGACGGGATATCCCCCTGCGCGAATTCAGACATTTGCATATCCTCGCGCGGCGTTATCGGCAAACAGAAAAACAGAAAACGGAATCTCTCTTAAGTTAAGTCGTGTATCTTTGCTTTCGAGGCGGATACTCGCCAAAGTTGCAAAAAGAAGAAGAAGAAGTAGGAGAGGTTCGCGCGCGTCCCGAGATACGTGATCGTTGAGAAAAAAGGGACAGAGGGGAAAAAAGCTGCCTTAATCGCGGCATCTCGGCGGCAAGTTATGGTCGTTCGTTAATTCGCCCCCAGGCCGCCGACCCCCGTCGCGAGAGGTCTTGGCCGAGAGGTGAGGAAGCGGCAAGAAACGCGCGTGTCTCTCGAGAAATATGTTCCGGACCGGGATGGTCGTCGTTACACAGGGGACCGGTATTCCTCCCCTTTTTTATGCGAATCACAAAGAGAGAAATTTATCGGCAGGCGACTTGGGTGGGTACCTCGCCGCCGCGCCGCCGCGTCGCCGCCGCCGACGGAAAAGGCAGGACGAGCGTGTCCTCGCGTCACGCGGGTGGGGGGGGAGGAGGAGGGGAGATGACGACGCGATAGCGACGTGTTGCGTCGCGCGCAGCCACCCTGATTAGTCGCGAAGCGAGCAACAGCGAGATACGCTTGTTCGCAATCGGGGGCGACTGGGCCGACACCGATCGCGATTGGGGCGATTAGCGGAGATCGCGCCGCGCGAGGATCTCCTCGCGCGGACACGTACGGGCGATATAATGGCGATAGGCGGGACGCGCAAGCAAATCGCTCTTCTCGCGGCCGAGCCGATCGGCCGCGACTCGCAAAAGGAAGAGAGTCTCCTGTTTAAATTCGTCGCGACGCGCGAGGCCGCCGCGCGGGCCTCGTAACTGTGACCGGACGGAATTGCGAGTGCGCGGGAGGAATGCGAATTGAGCGCGGAATGAAATGAAGAAGGGCGCGCGGGCGCGATTGCTGACAGTTGCAGGTTGCCGCGCCGACAACATCACCCCGGGGGAAAAGATGGTGGAGGTGCTGTTGGACCGAGTCGACGGCCAGGAGGTGGCCGTCGCCGCCGAGTCGGACTGCATATCGGAGTCGCCGACCGAGTGCTCGCCGAAGAACTCGCCGAGCAACGAGAAGCTGTCGCCGGTGCAGGAGTTCTACAACGGCCAGAGCGTCTTCATCACCGGCGGCACCGGCTTCATGGGCAAGCTGCTGATCGAGAAGCTGCTCAGGGACTGCCCCGGGATCGCGTCCATCTACCTGCTGGTGCGCCCGAAGAAGGGCAAGGACGTGCACCAGCGCACCGAGGAGATCTTCGACGACCCGGTGAGTCCGGCGCGGCGGAGGAAGCGGAGCCCGTACTTGGGGGCTTTTTCGCGCGAAACAAGTTCGAGACGCGCGCGTCTCCGATCCGGAGACGGTGGAATGGAAAGGACGAATAATTCTCAAGCGCCGAACGCCGCCGTCGGGGGAAGCTCTTAACGCTTTCACTGCTCGTTGCGTTCATTGCGTATGCTACCTGCTGCTATCCGTAATACGCGTATCATGCGAGTCACATGTGAGCGATGAACTGTTAAAGCGGCAGTTTGAGCGTCAGAGCAGTGTGTTTTTGCTCGCCGATTATTACTCGCGATTATTATTCGTTCCGCCTGCTGTTTGTCCGTCGGCTCGCCGATCTCGCGACTTGACTCTTCGTCTCTTCGTCTCGCTCGTCAAACATCGTCAAACGGCTCTAGCTGACTGATTGTACGTTTCTTGGAACGCGGAAATTATTTCTCGCGATATGATACGCGATAGATGATGCGATGATAAAATACAGATAAGTAGTGTCGTGCCTGTTCAATATTGTCCTCCGACGACAATAATCAAACGCACGTGGCCGTGTCTCAACGCTTGTATTGTCACAATTTGTGCAGCTGTTTATAAAGCTGAAGGACGAGCAGCCGAAATTCCGACATCAGGTCGTCGCGATCGCGGGTGACTGCAGTCAGCCGAATCTCGGTATATCCTCGCAGGACCGCGACACCCTCATTCGGGAGGTCTCGATCGTCTTCCACGTGGCAGCTACGGTCAGATTCGACGAGAAGCTGAAACTTGCGATGGCGATTAACGTGAGGAGCGCCAAAGATATCCTCTACCTCTGCAAGGAGATGACGAATTTGAAGGTACCGAGTAGTTCTCTGTAAAAGAAAAGGAGCGATTGCACGATCGAACGACGTGTGCGTCTGATTCGTTCGTCGTCGTTTTCGCTTCGTGCCCCTCAAGGTCGCGAGAGAGCCTCCTCGCGACCTTGAGTCGACCATTTTATATCAGCGAGGAAAGTGAGTGACTTAACGTGCGTGACTCACTTCAAATGTTCGCAGTCCTTTGTGCACGTGTCCACTGCGTACGCGAATTGTCCGCAGCGTGTGATCGAGGAGAAGTTTTACGACCCGCCGATCGATTCCGACAAGTTGATCGCGGTGATGGAGTGCATGGAGGACAAGTTGGTCGAAGACATCACTCCGCAGTACGTGAACCCTGCTCTCGAATCTTTTTTTTCTCTCGAGTCCATGCATGCGCTATCGATGTACCACCACCGGTGTGTCCGAGATCGGTGTAGAAGTTCATCTTATGTTCCTTCCTACGTTTCAGGTTATTGGGAAAATGGCCGAATACTTACGCCTACACGAAAGCCATAGCCGAGCATGTGATAAAAAAGCACGCTGACGATTATCCGGTCGGCATTTTCCGTCCTGCTATCGGTAAGTGCTGCTACTTTATTATACCAGAGCAGTTTATTTTTATCGGCTTAAACGGCGGCAGACAGAACTTCGTTACTCTTTAAACACTTATATATTCACAGTATTCGACAGCTTGAATATTCCTACTTAAAGAATTCATATTTAAAGCCTATTATAATCCTATATTTAGCAGCATTTTTATTTAAAAATAAAAGTTGACGACCAATAATGTCTGTTTGAAACAAATACCGTGAAAAAGAAATATCCAGTGCGAAATATCGAGAAATATCTTGACGAAAGATTCGCAAACTCCTATCTGGCCGCTGTCCAGAGACGAGCAATAAAAATCCGACGTTCCATCTTATTATTTACCAAATGATACAAATCAGACGACGCGGGTGAAGGTGACAAGGACCTAACCAATTAGTAAAATTCGAGACAAGAAATAGTTAATTTATTAATTAAGAATGACATTAATCAGTACCCGTGACGCGGTTCGATTCGCTGCGAACGTAGCTCGCACGGTAAGAAAAAAAAAAAAGTAGAACGTTGCGAGACAACGCAATCACGTAGCTCCGACGGAGTCCCGAAGGACCGTCTTCAACTTGGCTGTCCTCCCGCTTGCAGTGATCTCGACGTACCGGGAACCGATGCGGGGTTGGATCGACAACATGTACGGGCCGACGGGGGTGGCCGCTGGCGCTGGCGCCGGATTGCTGCGGTCGATCCATTGCAATGGCTCGATGCAGGCGAACGTGGTGCCCGCCGATCTAACAGTGAATGCGCTGGTCCTGTCTGCGTGGGACACGGCGAACATTCACAGGTGAATCTTCCTCGCGAATCCGCGAGATTCTCCTCGGTCTCTCACGGACGCTCACGGACGATTGAAATTTCTCTCTCGTCCGCTCGAAAGTCAAGCGTCTCAGCTCTGGCGAATCTGGCGATGAGGCACGCGATATCTGCGAAATAATCCGCGTCCGTTACAGACCTGGCTCTATTCTTCTCTCCCCGCGAGAGACTCGAATCTCGCGGGGAGAGGAGGCACCTCGGGATCAAGCGAGTCCTCGCGATTCAAGCTTCTTCATTCGTTCACTTGAGTCTCGTCTCTAGTTAACTTATCTCGAGGTTGTATCTCAGGTTTTCATAATGGCAGTGGTGGTAGAACGCAGAACGTCGTGCTTTCAGGCAGAACAACAAGACGAGCGGCGAGATCCCGATTTACAATTACGTGTCGACCGACAACCCGATCACTTACGACCAGCTGAAGGATCTGTCGGCCAAGTACGGCCTCGACATTCCCTCCAACCGGGCGATTTGGTATTACAGTTTCCGCAACAACAAGCACAGGATAGTCCATCTGTTCTTCGTGTACTTCATGCACCTGCTGCCGGCCTTGCTGGTCGATACCGTCACCTTCTGCATGGGCAGGCAACCCAGGTAGGAGGCGTGCGCGACCGGCGGTTTTCTTTTCTTTTTTTCTGTTTTATCAGAGAGCCTCGAGCGATAATATCGCGGTATCGCGAATTAACACGTCGATTGTCACGTTGATGTACACCGCGGATTATCTCGACGCTCCCGGCATAGGCTCCGAATAAACCGAGTGTGCGATAAAAAGAATGAGTGCAACTCGCGTTATGTCCGTGATCCGTCAGTCATTTTGATCTATAATTCAAACGCACATGTAAATCAGACGCCCACGATAATTACAGCCTGCTGACTATTAATGATAGTCAATGATAAAAAAGAGCAAAGGTGTATATTTTTATCCGCATTTCGAAGAACATTTTTTGCGTATCGCTCGAGTTATGTGTTTTTTTCTGTTTTTCTCTGCCGAAGATTACTCAAAGTCTATAAGAAAGTACACAAGTTCCTAGACGTCCTCAAATACTTCTGCACGCAAGAATGGACGTTCACGAACGACCGGCTGCGGGCGATGATAGGCAAACTCTCACCAAAGGATAGCGACAGATTCTTCTGCGACATACAGGACGTCGACTGGAACGTGTACTTCGAGACGTACATCCAAGGGATCCGCGTGTACCTGATCAAGGACCCGCTGGACACGCTGCCGCAGGCGCGCGCCAGATGGCAAAGGTATGACGAAGAGACGTACAGCGAAAGTAGATCGCGCAATCGCATCGGCGATTTTCGGCTCAGGAATTGCGTCGCTCGCGATTCCCGCCATTCCCGATCGCGGAGTGAAATAAAAGTTTTCACACGTCACGTCCCGAGACGATTTCGTGGCCCACTCGATCGCGTACATCGCGATATTTACACGGCAAGCGCTCGACTCCTCATCTTCGAGTCGAAGTCGAGTTAAATATTTCTCTCGAGACACTTTTCTTGCAGTCTTTTGCAATCAACACTTCTCCAAACGTATTACCAAGATATTTGTCCGTCGAAGTCATTGCCAAAAAAAATAGATAAAGGAATGTTTTGCGCGTTTCGTCATTCATCGCAGCAACGTTTCGGCTGACGAGCGACTTGCATATGTATGATTTGTGTCTTACCGTGATTTTTTTTTCTACATTTCTACATTTTTTGTTCAACGTATATTTCCCATTAGGGCGAATTAAGCAGAATGCGAAGCAATTAAACGCTCGATGTTTTCCAACGAGCGAACTCGAGACGCGTTCTTTTGCATTATTTAACATTGAGCCTTCGTTGAGTCAGCGTTTGACGGGCGACTCTTTTCAGAAAGACCGTGGGATCTAGAAGACAAACCAGGAATGTCTTTGCACGCGGGGAACGATGTTTATTTTCTTTCATCCTCAAATAGTCCTTCTTAACGGCAGTCTATTTGATTAATTTACTCTTATTTATTTATTCAATATCGATAATATGTAGTGGACCTTTCGGAAGTCTTTTAATGTGGATAAAAAGGAAGGAATCGGAATAGATAATTTTTTTTTTTCCTTATGTAAAATTGTTAACTGCTTTATTATTGTCCGGGCAGCAATATGAACGGCAAGTGGCCTTGATGAAATCGACAGTGGGCCGTTGGACTCCTCCGGAGTCGTGTCCAGCCGCGAGGACGCCTCGAGTGGTCCCGAGTTATGAAGGGGATGGATTTATATTGCAGATTATACTGGACCCATCAGGTGCTGAAAGTCATCCTGGCCTACGTGCTCATCAGGCTGTCGTGGGCGGCCGCGTCTCCGATCCTCAAGTACTTGAACTACGTGTGACAAGAACGGCCAGAAGGGAGGACGATGCGAGGCGAACGCGTCGTCCTGTGGGAAACGCGGGAATAGTCGATGGAGGATGGATCTTGCTCGGGTACGGAGTGAAGAGAAGCGATCGATTCTCGAGTCGGACAACGCGGAACCTCGGCGAAGAGGAAGAACGGAGCGACCTCGATGGGCGGCACACATCCGTGGTATCTCGAAACTTCGCGTACGCGCAGAGCAGCCGGATTCTCTATACGTTTCCTTCTTCTTTTTTATTCACACCGGAAGACGCGACGCGAGATGTGACGAGGACGACGGGCGAATAGCATCGGAACAACAACAACAACAACAACAACAACAATAATTCAATTCGTGCGGCAATTCAATCGCGTACTGTTCTTGCAGCTTCGAATTCTCCGCGAGTGAACTGTAAGTGAGAGAACCACATGTTACCTTGTTTCCAAAGTAGATTTTGTAAGTCTTTTCTGAGACACACAGAGGAAGAGAGAGGGGGGGGGAGAGAGAGAGAGCAAAACAAGGAGAAGATTCGACCACTGTGCGTACGTGAAATATCCTCGGTGTTGTGCAACAATTCGACATTAGTGCGTAAATTAATCGCGAGACTAACGGATCGTTTTGTTTATGTTTGCTTTCCACGCGGATAGCAGTGATCGAGATCTCGCGAGGAATGCGTTTCTCTTACTCTCAGCTATCCAACGGCTGAGGAGTGAGAGAGGAGGAAAAGGAGGAGAAATTACAAAGAAACGCGCGACTCGGCGACGAGTCGCTAGAGAAAGCGAGAGACATACGAGAATCAAAAAGCCTGTTCGAAGGAGATGACGAACGGATGACGAGAGAGAAGAGAAGAAGAAATCGCACACGCCGTTCCCCGCCGATTCGTTCGAGCCGAGTCTCTCACTTGAAATCGACGTGAAACTCAATCGAGGAGACACCCGCGACATTGAGTCTCCATCTCGTCAATCCCGTCTCTCCCTTCTTCTCCCTCGCATCCTCTTACCGCAATCAATCTTGATCTTCGACAAAACACACCGAGGCGATCTTCGCGGAGTAAAAGCGACCGAGAGAGCTAATCGGAACGAGTTGTATCGCGAGAGTGGCGAGAAAGTGAGCGTCGATGAACGAGCTATTAATTTACGCAACTCCGACCGAACCCGCGCTCGCGCGCGGTCAGGCTTGCCTGTCGTTACCGAACTTATTTCACGAATCAGCATTTCACGTGCGCACGACGGCCGTTTCACGCTGGAACACAAGTGCTTTTTGACGAGCGCGCTTTGTCCCGCGAATAAAAGATGAGACAGAGAATGAGGAGAGGAGTGAGAGCGAGCGAGCGAGAGAGAGAGAGAGAGAGAGAGAGAGTGTGAGTGAGAGCGCGAGAGAGCATATTCTTAATTTATATTTAATAATCGCACCTTGCTTTTACCGTTAACTGCTAAACACGCACATAACGCGAGCGAACCAAAGGGCTCTCAGCTTCTGAGAGAAAGCACATTTCGTTGACGGTTACACACACACACACACACACACACACACACACGCACACGCACACGCACATGCACACATGAATACAGGACTAAACGATAACGCGTACGTCATAGCCTCTTATTTGACAATGTATGGGTATATGTATGATGATGCGTGGTGAATCGAAATGTAATGATTATGTGTGAACATTTATTCGCTCGTCGCGGACGAATGTTAGGTCGGTTAGACGTAAATTTCGCAGGAGACCGGCGCATGGCCCCACGTCGGTTTCCCTCTCTTCTTTTCTTTTTATTTAATTAATAATTTCTTTTTATTTTATTAATAAGTCATATATATGTGACATGTGACTTAATTAGTGTCGAAAGAAGATTTGATGTCGCCGGCAGACTCAGCACCGACACGACATGTAAAATGGCCGGACAGGAGCGTGAAAATATAAGGTGATCCGAAAATTCGATGCAATCCAAAATATTATGATACTTTGGCGCAGCTTTGCCATCGAAAAAAATACAAACGTCACGAGTGAGACGGGAGAGGGGTAATACACATTTTTTGCTTTGTACTGATGGAATGTATATTAAATTATGCGATAAAACGTACATACGTGACTCTTTTGGAAAAACACGGTCAAGCACCTTATATTATCGCTATCTTGCACGCACATTATCGAGTCGAGTCGGTCGTCGAGGCATCACTCGTTTTTAATTAGCAGATAAATCTGTGTTCCAAAATTTACATTTCGAAAAAAGAAGAAACAAAAACCGTAGGTCATAATTGCACTTGGGCAGTTAGGCTTGAGGAAAAAAGAAAAAAAAACGCTGGCCCATGAGGGGATCGAACCCGCGACCTTCGCGTTATTAGCACGACGCTCTAACCAACTGAGCTAATGGGCCAGATGTCAGGTAGTGATGTATTAACAGTTTTCAACATGGAGCTTGCGACCTAATAAAAAAAATAAATAAAATATTAATTAGAATAAATAGATAAATAGAATAATTATCGCTAGCAAAAGCATCTTCGTCCGCTTGTGTTCGGCAGGCGTAACGTGAAGCAAAATGCAAAAAGGACAGAATCATGTGTCAATTGTACTTTCCTCATTGTCGTTTACACATGTTTCTCGAAGTTAAAAAAAGATATGTATAAACTTTTTTTATCTTTACGTAGATTAGAAATTCAATTTCAGATTGAAAGGACGATCTTGCGCATAAGCGGATGGAGCAAATATATGCGGTGAACACGCGAACATCTGTGGCACCGTGATCGTTATTGTTACTTTATCTTTGATGTACTTTACCTTTTACATTTTTGTTTATGTAGAATTTTGTAAAATAAATATATTGTTGTACATATCGACTCCAAATTTTATATAAATTTGGAAAAACAAGTCTTCCTTGTTAATTCACAGTTCACGTGTGGACTGTAGTATATAAGTTTTATTCTTTTATTGCATTATTTATTTATTGTTCATTGGAGATATGTCGCGACCTTAATTGCTCGTTAAGGAAGATGGCGACTCGTAGCGGAAACTTCAGAACTAATTTACAAAACTAACGGATCCAAATGTATGTATTATTTTGGCTGCTCCGATGTTGCGCTGATAGTAGCACTAACGCTAGCTCTAATGCTCGCGTAGATGCGAAGATGCATGTATAAAATAAAATAATATTCACGAGAGTCAAATTAATTAAAAGATAATCATCCGGATAGAATAAAGTAATCCGCGACGCGTGTATCGCTTGCCGGCACGAACTGTAATGCCGTGAGAGCCAACACTCAATGATCTCTATCTTGAAGCTCGCACCATTATATTCGATCGCTTGACGTAACGATCGCGGGGAGAGGATACGCGCAAAGAAATTTAAGCGGTAAGTAAAATCAAACGATCATAGCCAAGTAAACCATCAACTAATTACCGGTCGTCACTGCTAACGTTTTCAACTGTGATTGGTTTGATATGACCAACAGTCTTTATTGATGTCTTGTCGGCGCCTTGACCTATTATTTGCCGACAAAAATTTCCTAAAAATTAGATTTTTAGCTGAGACTTAAACCACAAAATTAGATCATTTTTTGGCCGAGACTCGAACCAGAATTAACCGACTTCCAAAAAGTATAGTGAAGACTCGCTCATTTAACTGACATTTAACTGACACTAGAACCACCTTCCACGACCGCGATTTGGCAGCGAAGCAAGCGAGACATGTTTTTCTAGCTGTCAAACGAGTCATCTGTTTAACACATCGGCGCCGCGATTGAGAGCTACGGAAAAACACTAAAGAAAACGTGAGACAAGCGCAAAGATGCTTCGCGGATACGAAGGTGTAAGATATATCTCGGATAAGCAAATGGTAGTATTCGATATCGGCAGTGCGTACACCAAGTGAGTACAAATAAGCTTTACATGATATCGCACCTTCTTGATGATATGACCTTCTTTATGTTGACAAAATATAATTATATATCATAACCTGTGATTGCAATTTCAATTTCAGGTTCGGTTATGCGGGAGAGACATCTCCACGTGGTATTGTACGAACGGAGGTGAGATGCCCGGAAACCAAAAAAATACGCAGAATTATTGATCACACGGACGTCGAGGACTTGTATCAGCTTCTCGTTGAGTTTCTTCATCTATTGTTCTTCAAGTAAAACTGCACATTCTTATGCTCTCGTTGTGCTGTGTCTCTCGAAACCTTCATGTCTAAAGACCTTTTTATTACCATAGATATGTTGTAGTAAGTCCCAAAGATACTAGGATAATGATATTGGAATCTCCATTGGCGGCAACACGATTCAGAGACACTCTGGCTAAAGTGATGTTTAGGCACTTTGAAGTTGGCTCCATGTTATTCTTACCGAGTCATCTGGCAACAATCAGTACTCTTGGTATTGACACAGCTTTGGTGTTAGATGTTGGATACCAAGAAGCTACTTTGATCCCGATTTTTGAGGGAATACCTATACTTAAGGCATGGCAGGCATTGCCTTTGGGCGGACAGACTGTGCATGAGTGAGTCTTACATTTTTCTTCTCTTTATATCGATTACAGATAATAAGCTCACAATATCTGACTCTTGTGCTTTGCAGCAACATAAAGAGATACTTCAATGGCACATTAGCTGGTCTGGAGTTGTCCGAAAAAGTACTGGAAGATATCAAAGTACGAACATGCTTTGTGACTACATTGGAGAGATCTACAAAGCTAGGAACAGAAGATACTCCCAGTCCACCTCCCGCTGTCAAGTATCCTGGTGTTACAAGTATCCTGGTACCTGGAGAGATCAGAGAAAAGGCATTTGAAATATTATGGGAAAGGGACAATGATAATCTCTCTTTGCCAACCATGATACTCGATGCCATTGTCAAGGTAAAACCAACATACTTTTCTGATGATACATAATATGCCTTCTTTTATATTATAAAAAACATCTGACGTCGTCGTAATAACTAATTTACACTAGTGCCCTTTGGACACGAGATGCGCCTTGGCTGAGAATATAATACTCATCGGTGGAACGACAATGGCGAAAGGATTTGCGAGTCGACTCAAGTCAGAATTGTTGACTTTAGTCGCGAGCGATCTGTACAAAAATAAGTTGAAGGTACAATCGTTCCAATTCCACACAGCGCCCAGCAAACCAAACTACACTGCGTGGTTAGGTGGTGCTATCTTCGGCACGACGGATTTGCCGCTGCGATGTTTGACGAAAGAGGTGTATCTGAAGACGAACAGAGTGCCCGATTGGTCCAATCTCGTAGACAATCAAAAAGACGAGACATCGTACGAAATGTGAAATCATTCTTTCTAAAATTTTGTAATTTAATGTATAGAAGAAGCAAAGTAAATCATCCTATTTATTGTCTTTCACCAACATCAAAATTGCTCTTTTTATACTTTATTGATAGATTACTTTTTCACGAAGGATTATAAAATCCTAAGAAAAAATGGTGTTATAAAAATGCGGGAGAACCGAAGTATAGAAGAAAAACCGTTCTTATTATTGAATTGTCTTCAAATTTTTATACACAATGCGGTTAGACACTTTCCGTTACAGAGTCGTCAGTAGCGTGAGCTTTTCGTTGAGTTGCAACTGGGTTTTGATCAGTTGAGATAACGCCACTACCATCAGAAGGTCTTTCACGTTACTGTTAAACATCTCATCAAACTGATCGCTGGACATCTTCGGCACGGAATGCACCATGTCCAAGAGCGCTCTGCCCACCTAAAACAGCAGAGCCATCGTCACGTTTGATAGTGATACTGTGTAACAGCAAGTCTTTTGTAGTATCCATTTTTTTACCTGATTATCTGGTAATTGTTTCCCAGCCAAAACATCATCGACGTATGCGAGTACCTGCTCCAGCATTAGAGAGAGCTTGGAACAAGCTTCTGCGACCTGTGCAAGATCCATCATAGGCTCTATACCTCCACCAGATTTCATGCTAGGTGGTGGCACATGAGAGTGCAATTGAGTCTTGGAACATAATTGCAGTCCCACAACCTCTGGTTCATAACATGTAATCTGATAATAATAAATACAATATTAAAGAACACTGGCTTCTGGTATAAAGAAAAAATATATAATTAGAATATATAATGATAGTATTTATAACGCAAGACTAAAGGTCCTCGCAGCATACTATAGTAAATTTCATGCAATTTTAAATACAAAATCTTAAATATATGAGCTTGTGAGTATCTTGTACTCTGTTAAGCCAATAAACTTTGACAAACCTGCACTTTAACCGGTGTGAACATGGATCCTTGCTTGCCATTGGGTACTCCCAATGGGACACACACGTAAGCTTTAATCGCCATTCTCGTGGTATTCGCTAATGTGGTGTCAACAGTTAAATGCACCGGATTATTACATTCTCGCACGTAATACTCGTGTATGACAGATGAATGCGTAGTAACCTGGGAAATTGGAACATTCGAAAAGGTATATGTCGCAAGGAATTTGCAAAAGGAAAGTGAAACAAAAGAGGAAAGTTACCTCGTTGCCGGTGGCCCACCAACCAACGATGTTCTCTTGCGCATTGACTCTGTGATTCAAATCGTACAGATCCATGCCATAAGTAAGGTCAGCCTCCACTTGGCTCTCGGACTCCTTATGCGGCACGCAAAAGCAGTTGGTCACCTCGACGATGCCTTTTTCCGCAGTGCCTGCCGAAAACACGTGTCGTTAGTCCGCGGCTGTCAAACACCGCAGGCTCGGGCGGTTCCGGACGCTTCCTGGTGCGAGCGAGCGTTCGCTGCATCGTTGCTTCACATGTGCGTATACGTTACCCAATAAGGTCCCGATGACCCGCAGGGATTCCGCTTTCCGTCGTTCGTAAGCATCGACGATTTGGAATAAAACCACAGGATGTACCTTGACGGTGAGGTTAAGCGCCATGTTTACGTCACTTCACGACAACGAGCACGAGAACGTGCTCGGGAGCAGAAAGAGCCGAATCCTCGCACTCCGCTCCGCGCGCGCAGAAGCTCTTCTGTCGCCATCTGGAACAAAACGAATGAACGTGGGATGGTGACTAAAATGTAACTAGTGGTCTGTTCCTTTTAGCTGCACTGCTGAACTGTTGCATTAAATTAGAGTGAGAAAAAAATATAGTGATCTCACTCTAACTTATTGCCACCAGTTCAGCAGTTTAGCAGCTAAAAGGAACAGGCTCATGGTGACGTCAGAGGATGACATGCACATGTGTTTGGCAGAACGTCCGAATGAGCGAGCCTCTGCGATCTATTTAAAGTACGATCCACTCGCAAAGCCCGATCCTATTTTACAAAAATCTATGATAATTAGCTATCGTATCGATCGAACGAGTGAAGTATTGAAAATCTACCGATCATGGCCGATTGTTCCTCAATCTTTGATCCGTTGGTCGACAAATTAACCGATGACCGTGCGAACAGAGGTAGGACGATATCAGAGAGACATGAAAAAGGTGTTTTTTGAAGATTTCATGTGATTTCTCTCTAACTTTTAAGGAAAAGTGCGGAGAAAACGTGACAGCGCGAAGCGTAATTTCTCTCGCTTGACCGACACTCATGAAGTACGTAGATACGATATTGTCACGGGAGAATCAATCGCCGGAACGATCGATTGATCACCGGTTAGATGAAGTCTCTTATCGGAGGATTTTTTAGACAAACATTCATCCGCAACCATTTTTACGCACACGAGTGTACGTAGCCGCAGTATGAGACCTCGTACGATCGTGTTTTAAGGTTAGTCCGAACGGGACGAGGAAGTCCCTCTGTGCGGACGATTATCCTTCTCGCATTATTCATTTACCGTTTACCAGACTCGAATGAGCTGATGTCACGCACCACACTGATCAGACTGCGTTTAAGATGACGCTCCTCTGGAAGTTACTGTGTAATCCCGGTGCCTTGCGAAAAGCAGGATATCGCGGTATCGGTGTATCGCACAAGTACTTGTTCGACTCGTACCTGACGACATGGCTTATCAGAGCGTCGAGGAAGAACCGTACGACATTCGTCAGCCTGAGGCACCATGCGACCAGTGCCATCGAGTCCGACGTTTCGAGGTCCGTCGCACGTTCGGCCAAAAAGACCAAGACCTCGGAGCTGAAGAGTCTGATTCTGTTAGCAGCGCCTGAGAAGTGGACCCTGATGCGAGCCATCGCATTGTTACTGGTGTCGTCCAGTGTAACGATGGCTGTGCCCTTTTGCTTTGGCAAAGTGATTGATATCATCAATACTGCGAAGGAAGAAGACATGAAAGAGAATCTCAATCGGCTAACATTGGTTCTGCTTGCAGTGTTTCTCATAGGTGGCCTCAGCAACTTTGGAAGAGTCTATCTGATGTCCACAGCAGGACACAGGATTACACAGTCTTTGAGGAAACAAGCGTACGCCGCTATCCTTCGGCAGGAGACAGCAATGTTTGATAAGAGAAGCACAGGGGAACTGGTTGGGAGATTGAGTGGTATATTTCATATCTTCTGTCGAATCTAACATCTACAAAACACATCACTTCTATCAAGTATCAAGTACAAATCTCTGATTCTAACCGATTTCCACTACTTTTCTCTCTTAGGCGACACTCAGCTGATCAGCTCTGCAGTAACATCCAATGTCTCGGATGGTCTACGTTCCGCTGTCATGGCGGTGACAGGAGTGTCCATGATGTTCTACGTGTCGCCGTCGCTCGCTCTGCTCGGCCTATCTATAGTGCCACCCGTCGTGGCTGTCGCAGCAGTATGGGGTCGCGTGCTGAAGAAAATCTCCAAAAACTTGCAGAATAGTTTCGCGGTGCTGAACGCGACCGCCGAGGAAAGGATCAGCAACATCAGAACCGTCAAGGCATTCGCGCAAGAGGAGCGCGAGATCGACCGATACAGCGCCAGGATGCGAGACGTTCTGACGCTTTGCTACAAGGAGAGCCTTTACCGAGGCCTGTTTTTTGGTATGACCGGATTCTCGGGAAACGCTATTATCCTCTCGGTCCTTTACAACGGAGTATTCATGGTGTCGAGCGGCGATATAACGATCGGCAGCCTGAGCGCCTTCCTGCTGTACGCCGGCTACGTCGGCATATCTCTCAACGGATTGTCCACGGCCTACAGCGAGCTGAACAAGGCACTGGGCGCGAACTCCTGTCTGTTTGAGTTGATCAATCGACAGCCGGTCATCCCCGTTCAGGGCGGGCAAGTGTTAGACAAGGAATTGTCGGGCAACGTGGAGTTTCGCGACGTTTACTTCGCCTATCCAACGCGCGACACGGTGCCCGTATTGAAAGGCTTCAACTTGAACGTGGACAAGTGTTCCATGACTGCCATCGTCGGGCTCTCGGGCTCCGGCAAGTCCACCGTGGCGTCACTCTTGCTCAGGTTGTACGATCCCACGAAGGGATCGGTGCTCTTGGACAGTCACGACCTCCGCCTGCTCGACCCCACGTGGGTGAAGTCGCAGATCAGCGTGGTGTCTCAGGAGCCGATTCTCTTCAGCTGCTCGATCCGGGAGAACATATTGTACGGGATGGAGAGCGCGTCGGACGCAGAGGTGCTGGAGGCCGCACGGCTGGCGTACGTGTTGGAATTTACGGAGAAAATGACGGACGGACTGGACACGATAGTGGGAGAAAGGGGGATCGCGCTAAGCGGCGGTCAGCGTCAGCGAGTCGCGATCGCCAGGGCCTTAATTAAGGTAAACCAAGTCGCGTAAATTCGTCTCGTTGATCAAGCCGATCACGATCATGTCACTCTTCTTTCTGATCCGTTTCTTCTCTCTAGCAACCGAAGATTCTGATACTTGACGAAGCGACCAGTGCCTTAGACGCGGAGAGCGAGTACTTCGTTCAGGAGGCCTTGGAACGCGCCATTCGCGGCAGAACGGTGATAACCATCGCCCACAGGCTCAGCACGATCAAGAATGCCGACAAGATCGTGGTGCTCGACGGCGGACGGGTGGTGGAGACCGGCGCTTACGCCGAGCTGATGAGCTCGGAGAACGGCCACTTCAAGAAGCTAGTGAAGCATCAAACGTTCACGTAGAAATAACAGAGAATCGCCGGGCGGACGACCGCTGGTCGTGGTACGCTCGAACCCTTTCTCGTCGCGTGTGTTCTCTTTGATGTATCATATGTATATATTTATTACTTCTAGGCATCGAATGACTAATAAAGTTAGTTAGAGCACTTATCTTGACGCATCATTCGAACGGGAAATTCGATGCGGTGTAACAACGGGACCGTGTAACGTCATTCCCCCGAGCGTTTATCGCTGATGAGACAAGAGATGTCAGGAGGAGATACGTGACTCATCGTTGCGGGAAAGAGAAACCGAGACAGAGAGCGGGATTCCCAGATTGTCCCGTCATTTCAGGGATAGCACGAGGAGACTGGCTACGAATAAGAGAGAAGTCGACAATCATTTTTATATATTTTGTTATAAAATAATGTACAGCTATTTTCAGATATCCACATTTGTGTGTTTGTTGTGTCTTCTTATATGCGTGTGTACGTGTGTACAGTGTATGATGTTATTAGTCTATATTACTTTTTTTATTTTAAACCCATTCCTACGATATCCGTCTAATAACGTTTCATTAGATCCACGTCGGGTCCAAATCCGCTCGTAAACGTTTTGTGCAAATACATGGGACTGCAAGCGGCTCGATCGTGATGGGTACTTCATGCGTGGATCGCTATTGGTTTTTCTTGTTTTTCTTTTTTTTTCTTTTTTCCTTTGCAACGGACCGATCATCTCGTCCGTGCTCTTCGTCCTCGGGTTCGCGTCCGTGTCTAGCGTCGTAGAAAATCATAGTGCACGAAGTGGAAGGAGGAATCAGAATGCTGTGATACCTCCTCTCGCGAAACATCGCTCGCGTTGTCGGTATCATCATCCCTCTCCCTTCCGCTTTCGTTTCACTCATCATCTCTTCATCTACGTGTAGCTCGGCGAAAAGGAAAGTACTCGTCGTTCACGTAGCGTGGACGACATCGAAAATCGCGACTTGGAATCTACATAATCGATCCCAATCAGCCGTGCCGCGATGGGCCACCTCGAGAAGATTCGTTTCAACGACAAGTCTCGACAAACTGCCCTCACCGAAGCTACACCGTCCGCTCTCCCGACGTTCTCCGCGAGTGCCGCGCGCGAGGAATCAATAACCCGACACGGTGCCGTAGCCCCGTCGGAGAAGATCCTCGAATCGTTCAATTGAAACTTAGTATTATAAGGCTGCTGCGGCGACGGTCGCGGCTTCGTGCGTTCGCATGTTCGCTCACCTCGGCCGCGAAACCGGACGTCGGAGTCCGGATCCGCGGTGTTCCCTATGTGTCGCGTCGCGTCTCTTCGCGAGTCGATGAATTACTTATTACGTAATACTTGTCCGAGATAAGCAATATACACAGTAGTTAATATAGGCACAACCTTACTCGCTAAGCAGATAACTATCGGTACTCTTGTATAAATCCATATTGAAACGTCTTACGACCACATGGACTTCTCTATACAAGCGCTTTCGGTGTTTCGCAATCTCGCTCTCCTTTTCCTTTCTCTCGTCAGTGTCCTCCTCCGTTTTCCCGTTAGCCCCTCGGTATTCTTTTCGCAGAGTGTAGGCAGTGTTCTTTTTCTTTCGAGGAAAGTTAGAAAATTTATCCCGCCGGTGTGGGTATGTGTATGTACGTATGTATGTGTGTGTGTGTGTGTGTGTGGAGTCCCGCTCGTTAAGTCTTATTACCCGGCGATGAACCCGACGATAAACCCGGAATAAATTAAGAATAACGAACGAGATGCTCGAATGACGGACAACGTCGAGGATCTCGTTTCGTTCGTTCGTCTCGCTCGCTCGCTCGCAGCTGAAACGTCCTCGCCGATCGGTGATGGAACGTTCACGCAAATCCTAACCGGCGCGCATGGCCATCCTGCGCTCCTGTCGCCAAGAGGACCTCGCTCGCTCGAATGCTCATGCGGCCGGTGCTGGCGTGTCGTCGACATCTACGTTGAAAAATAGATATCAAATGTTAAAGCAGAGAGAGGAAAGAGTGACGAAACGCGCCCGGATTAGGCAAATCTGGATTAACTCTTCGACAACTCGTCCATCGTCTCGTGCTCCATCTGCTCGTCCTGCTGGAACGCCGGCGTCGACTCCTCGTCGTCCACCTCCATCATCTCTATTTGGTCGTGCGGCTCCTTCCTGCAGCCCGTACTCTCTATTACAGACGACTGCTTGCTCTTGGGAGCAGCACTCGTCAAACCGTCGTCTCCTGCTGCGCGGATCAGCGCATCATCCAACGGTGACTTACAAACGACCTCGGCGATCGAACCATCCGAGCCGTCGGTCATCTCGACGACGGTCGAGTCGAGCTTCTCGGTCACGGCCGCGCTCGCCTCCTTGGCGGCGATCTTCTCCACGGCGATCCTGGCCTCCACTATCATGGAGTGGAACGCCGTCTTGTCGTTGCTGATCTCCATCATCTTTATGCCGTCCCCGTTGAATTCGGCACTTGCCATCTCCAGTGCCGTCTGATCGTCGCCCTTGGAAGATGCTACTCTAGGAATCGGCTCAAGCAGCTGATCCGTCGCCACCTCCATGTCTTCCATCTTCTGGCCGACCGGCTGTTCGTGCGCCGGGCGACTGTTCTTGGGAGAGGTCACCGTTGTGCACGCGCTCTTCGACTGCGACTCGGTCTTCTCGGTTTTGTGCAGCGTCTCGCCACTGGACGACACGATGACCGCGCTCATGCATTCGTCGGACGCGACCGCACTGTCCTTCTCCGCGGTCGGAGACTCGACGAACACCATCTGCGTGATCTTCATGCTCTCGCCGTCTGGGCAATGCGGATTCTCCTCGTCCACGTCGCCCAGACGAGGTGAGGCTGCCGCCTCCGCCTCCTCCTCTTCTTCCTCCTTCTGCAGTTTACTCGGGATCCGATTCTCGACGACGACAGTACCGGTCTCGTCCGCCGAAGCGACTTTCATGTCGACGTCCATCTTCAGCAAACTCTCCGTCAACCTGCTCTCGTCGCGAGACATCTCCTCATTCGCGTCGCTGCACTCGCTGCTGGTGCTCGTCTCCGTGGGCTCGCCGCTCTTCACGGGGTGAACGATGCCCGCCGACTCGATGACAGCCGGCGCCGCAGCTGACGTGGTGGTCTTGTCGTTCGGTTTGTCCGAGCATTTGTTATTGTCGTCAGCCTCGAAGCGTTTCGCCTGGAAAGCGGCCTGCAAGTTTCGCGTGGTGTCTGTCGTTAAGGGTATCACCGTGGCCACCACGGTGACTGTGGTCGTCGCCGAAGGTGACGACGACGACGTCGACGTGGTCGACGCCGATGTCGTCGACGGCGATGTACTTCCCGTCGTCGTCGTCGTCGTTGTTGCCGTCGTCGCCGTCGTAGTCGTCGTCGTCGTCGTTGCCGCCGTCGCTATCGTCGTCGTCGTCGTCGTCGTCGTCGTCGTTGTCGTTGTCGTCGTACTTAACGTCGTCGCCGCTACAGTCGCCGTAGTCGTCGGGTCCACCTCCTCGCTCTCCATGTCTAAACTGGCTTGGGAACTAGTGTCCTCGTTCATAATCGCTTCCGCTACGTCGGCACTCCCGACCGGCGAGTCCTCGGCGACTATTGTGTCCACGGGTGTCTGTTGACTCTGCACAACCGGGACTGTGGACACAGGTACGACCGGCTCATCATGCGACTGCTCCACTTGCGACGTTAAGTTCGATATCGCCGAGAAATCCGAGGTAGCGCTGATAAAGTTGGACGTCGTGAGCTGTTCCGTCCTGGAGACCGCCTGTTCCAGCTTCTCCCGAGTGGTCTCGTCTGCGGAGAACACGGGGTTCTTCGCCAACGCACCGGCGCCGGTGGTGTTGGCGGTGCCTGGCACGACGGTGTGCAGGAGAGGCGCCTCGTTCTCGACGGTGTGCACGCTGATGGTGACGGTTGATGCGCAGTCCTTCTCCCAGTATTCCATATCGACGTCCTGGGAGCTCGGCTGCGTCGTCGGCTGTGCCGACTGCGTGGTCTGCGGCGACGGCGACGGCGACGGCGACGGCGACGGGGATGGCGAAGGCGACGGTGGAGGTGACGGTGGCGGGGGTTGTTGCTGTTGTTGTGTGACCGACGCCGTCTCTTCCTCGACAGAGCCGTTCACCATGCCGTCTCCTGTCTCGCCGCGTCTGGCTATGGGGCCGGGTTCGCGCGTCGAGACCACCAGGATGTTCTTCTCGATGGCGCGCATGAATTTGTCCACGCGATTGTACTCTTTACGCGGCGCGGTCAGCAACTCGCATATCCGTTGGACGGTGAAAGGCGCGTTAGCGAACGACTCCAGCCGCTCAAGGAGGTTGCTCTTCATCGTGTCGTAATTGAAATGCTCGACGTTGGGACAGGGCGCGAGCTCCAGCGTCGGGCAGCTCTCGTAGAAGTCTGTCATCACACGGGTCAGCTTCTCCCGGAAGAGTGTCTTGATCATCGGCCACTGATACACCGGGTCGCCCGTCTTGGCGACCCAACACAAATAGTCCTCCAGCTCGCGCGGTATCTCTGTCGGCCGCATTTTCTGGAACTCGTCGAGCGCCTGCAGCACCTCCTCCAAGTTTTCCATCTTCCCTGCCACAGCCGAGAGACCCGCACCGATGAGTCTCCTTCAGCGAGATCCGTCACGTCAAACTCGTGATAACACGGAGGATTTGTTCTACTTGAAGGAAACAACCAAGAATGAAAAACGTAAACTAGCTACACACCGGCCACAAAACAGCAACAATGATCCACGGCAGGAGGGAGAATCGCAGTGCCGCCAACCATGTTTTTCGTCTTCTTGCAACCTTCAAAAAGGTAATCTCGTTGTCAACCGCCTTAAGCCGCTGTCGACGCTTGGAAACTACGTTTCCAACGGCCGGATTGGCCGTTGAACACTGCCGAGAGCGTTTTGATTGGCTATTATTTTCTGTGATGTAAATACCACTGACGAAATCTCGGAAGAGCTGCTTCCTCACTGGAGCACGTTGCGCGTACGTGACATCGACGTGATCTCTTGGTAGATTTTAAAAGATTTATCCAAATGGTTTTTACGAATTTTACTCGCACACTGCGAAGTTTTTAACTTTCGTGTTTTAATCTGCACGTATTCCATATACTCACTCGCTCATCGTTTTATACGAGGGAACTCTTCGTGGTGTTGCCAACAAATTTCACTCATAGACGGGAAGGAACGACACACCGGCGTTTGTACAGATTAATCTCAATATATTTCACAACTTTTTTCAAGTTTAGACACGATAATATCATATAACATGTACGTGTATATAGAATTAACAAAGATAAGATATATAAACTTATCTGTTATAAATACTTTAATATATTTCATAGTGACAAATCATCTCTCTGTACTCACATTAATAAATAAATAACTAAATAAATAAATCGCACGCTCGAAAATTACAAACATCCCTCGTTGATACATAAGATATACACACAATGGCTGACAAAGTAGTGTGACTTAATTAGTACTTTTCCTTGCGATTCCTTACTATTTTTTTTTCTCAGGTATCCCTCTCTTCCGAATGCACACTCAACGATTGTTTATTGTAAACATAATACATACGAAATATCGAATTACCTATATAACATTTGTAAAATATTAAGAACTTAAAATAATAGTAACCTTGGATCTTGGCCGTGGTTATCAAATAAAATCTTTAATAATAACCTATTAATGATGATAACAATTATTCTTTTGTACAATAAAGGGAATACGATAAGTTTATGGCATAGTGATTGCATCAATAACGCGATATTTGATTTTACTTTCGTGCTTTATCACTAAGGATGTTACTAATGGAAGGAATAAATCAAGTGCGCCTATACATAAGGTTTTTTGCACAATAGACGCTTAACTTTTACAAAAAAAAAAAAGTTTTAAAGACTATATAGCATCAAATTTAAAATACCAAATTGTATGTTATAAGCATTTGTGATTACATTACTGCTTTGCTCTTTTTTTCTTTTCTGTCAATAAAAGAACACACAAAATAGTTTGGTCAGATATTCCAAAACATTCCTTAATACACAATACAAGGTATGTGTGCATCATATTGACCTAATATATTCGTGCATCATGCTGTATTGGTCTGACATACCTTATAGATTCTTTTTCTCGATAAATTACCAACAATCAAAGGCTTAAGAACAACAATGGTGTGAATCCACTCTAAACAGATCTTTGTTACTTAGAACTATCCCATAAATCTGTTGTTAATATTGAATTTATAGATTTCAATTAATATGCCATGTATCGTAAAAACAAGAGTTTTTCACGAATTTGGAGCACTTAAACATCAACTACCATTTTCTTATGAATATCCGTATTACCAACAACCTAAAATGATCACATAAGATATATATGTGTATGTGTTTGTTTATATACATATACATGCATGTAATATATCGTGCAGATTGCAAGAAGACTGTAAAAGTGTCAATTACTTACAGAACAAAATTCTTCGAAGCTAATTCTGCCATCTTCATCTTTGTCAGCAAACAATATTGTCTTGTCAACAATTTGCTGCAATTGTGTATCCTTCAAATTATTGCCTACCATCATTTTTAGCACTTGGAAAAGCTCTCCATTGCTTATATAACCATCATTATCCATATCATAAATTCTAAATGCAAAGCGTAATTTGCTCTCTTTATCACCCTGTCAAATTGACAAATTGTGTAATTACAACATATAATTATAACATATAAGGTACATGACTACATTGCTTGTAGATGATAGGATACTACCTTAACGCTGAATTGAGACACTCCGTGAATAAACTCCTTAAAATCTACTTCTCCATTGCCATCTGCGTCAAATATGTCGATAACACGTTGTACCAATGGATTCTGTTGCAATTCGGGCAAGGACATAAATTCGTCGATGCTGAGAGCACCACTGTTATCCAAATCTAACTTTCGAAATCTCTTCCCCAATCTCCTGATCTCGTCCACATCGACTGAAGCATCAACAATCACGTATTACGAAATGTCGAGGTGATTTCTCTGAAAGATCTTTCTCCAAAAAAATTTAATTACGAATGTTCCACGCATAAATTGCAATGACGTCGTGAATTACATGTACACGTAGCATTCTCCGCGGGTGTAGATGCAATTCTACTACACACTTGCTCATTGAAACGTTACAAACACAACACCGTTTGATAAGAGATCAGGTTATTTCGAGATGCTTTGAGTGAAGTTCAAGGTACTCTGAGGAGGACTTACAGTTTGAACAGAGTTCCAGGGGCATTGAACTTTCGTTACCCTGCAAGACAGATACATTTTTTCAGACAAATCTGTTTACATAGACGTGAAATATATCTCAAAAACAGATCACACGCGAAAATTATTTTCGTAAGCGAGGTCAGGACCGAGAAGACCGAGAAGACGCGGGGGACGGTGTTCGCGATCGTTGGAGAATCATCGCGGGCTCGCGTATCCGTGCACGATACACTGATGATTACCATTTCTGACTAGCTTCGTTGGAAAAATCCGTTGGTAAAATGCCTCGGAAACAGCAATATTTTGTAGCCGATAGCTCAGTGGAGCTGGAACACAATCGCGCCGCGAAGTGGGGGGGATATGTATCGACTTTTTCCTGTGAGCGTTTTTCATGCCCGGCAGTTCGTCGTCCGTTGTGAACGGGCACTGCGCTACGGCCCATTTTCGATCGCTGCTGCCTACGAGATCGCGCTTCTATGTGACGTCCTTCTTCACGGTTATCAGACGACGAGATTTTGGCGCGCTTGGTGCAGATGCTTTGCAGGCGGATTTCATCGGACTTTTGTTGTTCATAAGGAAACGCGAGAAGGAATTTCAACACACATCCGGTGGTAGCGTTTTGATGTGGCATAAGATTGAGTAATATGATGATGAGCGGAGATGAAACCAAGCTACCCCAGAAAGAAGCGCATTTAGCTGTATCAAAGTCCATTTATGCTTCCATTTGCGTATAATTTATGAGCATCGTCGAAACATGATATCGATGATACAAATAAATTTGGACGGATACATCTCGGCTCCCCTGCACACGTTGAGACATATAACGCGTATCGACGTTGTTACGTGTCATCGGTGTCGTAAACGTATATATGCGGGTGTCGCTCGACAATCGCGATATCCTTCTCGAGTTCTTGCAATTCGCGCTCTATCCTGGCCTTCTTCTTCTGCACGTGCGCCAGCGCGACGGTCAGAGGCAGTCCTTGGAATTGCTTCATCAATCTCTCCCATCTCTGCTTCATGCCCTGTTCTCGACAAACGCAAATCGCAAGCCCTTGAGATTATCGAGATTCTATCTAAAGGAATATATCCATATACGCGCGAATCTATCTATACCTACATCCAACAACATCTTTCGTTCCTCTTTGCTGACATACCGACACGAGGGTATCTCGGGTATCTTATCTTCCTCACGGTGTTCCACCGTTTCTGTTTCCACGCTTACGAAGGCTCTTGCGTTAGCGATGAATTTCGGTATCTTCCCATAATTCTGAAGAAACGTGGAAACGTTAAGAAAAGAAAAAAAGAAAGCAGCGCCGAGCAAGAATACAAGGATCGAGGACTATCGTAAGCGTGAGAAGCTGTAGGTGCAAACGGCAAAAATGGCGTTCATACTTTCTTGTGCACATAAATCGGAAGTAGTCCGCTATATTTTAAATCACGCGCGTCGCCGTGACGAGTGTCGACGGATCGCTGCTTGAGTTCCTTCGGAGAGGAACGTTTGACGCGAAGGATATTCTGTTTGATGAAGTCTTTTCCCCGTGCGGCGACCGATTCCTCCGCCATCTTATCGTTCGTTCTCACCCTTGTGACGAAAGGTTCGTTCGTTTAGTCGCGTTTTGCCTCGGCGAAAAAATGCGACACGACAAACACGCAAAGTGTGAGTAAAACGAACAGACCTTTCCGACAACTTCATGTGTCATTCGAAGAGATTTTAGCGCCACTGGTGGGCGACTCTGGTACTTTCATTGATTAATAAATTTGTCCATGGGAGCGAGTGAAAAACAAACGTCGATTGATCCATTTTCCAGGGTACTCCCTGGTGCTTGAAGGTGTAATTTTGCTGTCGCTTACAAACACGCCGTACATTAGGCTGTAATTTTTTTTATATTTTACACTCCACGTTATGCTCATACGCATTGAAGTACAGTTGACAGGAAAAAAATAAATACGTCGTGTAACACTTACGGAATATAAAAGGAATGGCAACTATGGGTGAGCCTCTCACTTTAGCGAGAGGTAAGTCTTCATTCTGTTCAAGCAATTTTCTCGCGAAATACTAAAATACTGAAATAAAAACAGAATAGAAGTGTAAGCAATATCAGCTCACTGCGCAATGAATTATAATTCTTATTTTTTTGCTTTTGTAGATGTCAAAAGGTCTATAGAGTTATTAGACAAATTACAAAAGGGTATGTAATCATAATGCTGCTTTTGATAAAGCAGCTTTCCATTTGCTAGTAATGTTTTTCTACTTTCTCAATATTTATGCTGTTTTAGGTGGGGAGGTTCCCACGACAAAGTTAGCAGCATTGCAGAAAGTGTTGCAAAGTGATTTTCTTAGTGCAGTACGAGAGGTATATGAGCATGTATATGAGACTGTTGACATTCAGGTAAATATGGCAATAATTAAATAGCGTTTAACACATGCTTTTTTATCAGTCAATCATGTTTATCGTAACAATCACTGACTGTGTTATCAAGGGTTCACAGGATGTGCGTGCATCCGCTACTGCAAAAGCAACTGTTGCTGCTTTTGCTGCCAGTGAAGGTCATGCACATCCACGAGTAGTAGAATTGCCAAAAACCGAGGAAGGACTTGGTTTCAATGTAATGGGAGGTAAAGAACAAAACTCACCAATTTATATATCTCGCATTATTCCTGGTGGAGTTGCTGATAGACATGGTGGTTTAAAACGTGGAGATCAACTTTTATCTGTCAACGGAGTGGTGAGTGGAAATCTTTCCATCTTTTACTCTTGTTGAACATTGTGGACAATATCGGGATAAAATGTGTTACAGTGCGTTGAAGGTGAAAATCATGAAAAAGCTGTAGAATTACTGAAGCAGGCGCAAAATTCTGTGAAACTGGTGGTTCGATACACTCCACGTGTTCTAGAAGAGATGGAACTCCGTTTTGATAAACAGAGGGCTGCTCGTAGACGCCAACATATGCAATAAATAAGATAGGTGCAAAATACTTCATTATATCCAGCAAATAACTATCAATTATTGTATTCACATGTATCAACTGTGTATACTATACAGTTATGATTAGACTCAGAGATATATCATTTTAATATGATTGTATTCATGTTTCCCCTATTCATCAATAAATATATCTCATCTCTGTTCATGTACGGACGATCTTTTTGCTGGTTTTTTTTCTTGTAATGTAATTTGCTGTGTAAAAAGTATCAGATAATTTTGTAGAACATGTAAGCACACTATGTATAAATTTGTGTATAAATTTGAAATTTTTATTTATGATGCTGAAAGTATATCTGATCAATACGAAAGAATATAGCTAGAAACTGAACCTGGAAGGAGGAGAAAAAGAAATTTAATTGATAATTCTGTAAGTAAAATAACGGCCACCGAACAATTCGTAAATTTAATAGTATAACAGTAATATCGACCAATCATACGTCTCACATGTCGCGAATGAAACGTTATTTTTCCAAAAGATTCGTCGACATCAGATTCTCTATATCCAATGAAATATTTTGTTTCCTAGGGAATATAATTAGCGACAGATTTGTGTATACATATATATATTAATTTTGCATAATTATTCACAAATACATTTCGTAAATGCGCTCTCATGTAATAAGAATAAATCGATGTACGTAAATTTAGGATTCCAATCGTTTTCCGCGATCGTTTGACACGAGACGGACTCGTGACGTCATCAGCTGCTCGCGGTATGATCCAAACCGTTTCGATCGAAAATGGGTATGATTTTCGTTTCTGCATGCTATACAAAGATCGAAAGAGAGATCGTGGAGAAATACAGAATTGAAAAAAATCAACAATTCACGAACGTTATCTCGCAGACGATCTACTCTCGTGATCACGCGGAGAGTTTCTGGACTTCTACACTTTGGAAGTTCATGGCGGGTTGCCGGCTGCCATCTTGGATCTCGTTCGTTTAAGAAGCCGGCCGCCCGCAAAAATCTCGAGTTTCACACGGCCGCGCGGCCTCAGCTATTACGCGAGTAAGCTCCGCGCTCTCGCAAAAAAATCGGGAATTCATTCTATTTAATCCAGTCAAGATTCAAGCTCGGAATGCTCTAGGTGAGTACAATATAAGCCTACTCTATTCCACGACCGCGATGGCGTGTGATTTACCACGGGTACATGTGTGTACGTGCCTTGTGCCTCCTTGCATGCGCGTGCTTTCGCTTTGTTGGCCGCTAGTATGTTAATCTCGTTACGAATCGCGGAAACATGAAAGCCTCGACGGAATCCCATCATCAACGGCGGCGGACTCTGCCGTGCTACCAAGTGATCTCGGGGTACGTTGAGCATACCCGAGCCTCTGGCAGTACAATCGATAAGTGAAAATATTGAAATAAAGTGCTTTCACTTCACTTTAGTTGATAAGAACCTCGGTTTATGCTTCTCTCCGTGTATTTTCATCCCGCCCTCATTCGTATGTTTCGATAGAATCTGCATAAACCTGAAACTTTATCGCATACCATGCTGAAGATCACAGCAAACTGTAATATATCTGCTATTGTACTCGGCTATTGCCTTGAGTTTTTTTAACAACTATGGACTTGCTTTAAGGTTCTCGTGTGTATTTTTAGTATATATTTATGGTTTTGTGTTTCTTCTAAGCTTTCTATGTTATTACGCTGATATGTGTATTAGATTCACAAGGGGGTACTGTATTAAATTTCTGTACACCATGAGCTTTACCCAACTGACTTATTATCCTCTATTTTTATTGTTTATATATTAGTTTCTTCCTTATTCTTTTTTGTATAATTACAAATCTAATTTAACAGAATTGTGTATATATTGTTTAGGTTTATTACTGTTCTCACATGTACGTAGCTGGGTGAACAGAGGAAACAAAGTCATTAATAGCTGTAAGTTTGGAATAGACAGTGGAGACAGTATATCTATCAATAAGGCACTTATTAATAATAATATTTTGGAGAGAATGGCATTACCAAGTAGAGCACGAGTTTATGCCGATGTGAACTCACATAAACCAAGAGAGTACTGGGACTACGAATCTTACGTTGTTGATTGGGGGTGAGCTTTATTATAGTAAAGTTTTGGTGGTGTTATTGCTACCGCTACTTGTAGTATACCACTTTATATCTGTACCAGCATCTATATTGATTCTTATATCTGTGCTTCTTGATATAGGCAACAAGATGATTACCAGTTAGTAAGAAAATTAGGCAGGGGTAAATATAGTGAAGTATTTGAAGCCATAAATGTTACAAACAATGAAAAATGTGTCGTAAAAATATTGAAGGTATGTTAATTATGCTGTGCTACTGCTTTCAATGAATGTCTAATATTTTTTTACCATCCAATAAAGCAGGGATAGCAGAAAAGTGGTATTAATACTATTTTTCTTATTTGTTATAGCCTGTAAAAAAGAAGAAAATTAAAAGGGAAATAAAAATTTTAGAGAATCTTAAAGGTGGGACCAACATAATTACACTCCAAGCAGTTGTGAAAGATCCAGTTTCGAGGACACCAGCATTGATCTTCGAACATGTCAACAATACGGACTTCAAGCAATTATACCAGACGCTAAACGACTACGACATAAGATACTACCTCTATGAATTATTAAAAGTGCGTGTATTGTTAAGTGCAATGGAACCAATTATCAATTTGTGGTGAAACTTTGAGATTATTGTTCTGATAGATGTAGGTGTATGTCATAGGTTCCAGGAAGTGCTGGAAAATATTGAATTACTGTTTTTTGCATTTTCCTCGTATTAATGTCAAGGTGTGTCCGTTATTGCTTAATTTTGTCTTTATGCTATCTTATGATACTACAGCCTTGGATGAAAATGAAAACTTTTGCACATGTCTCATCTTGTTTTGAAGTTAAGAAATCACTTGTGAATTTTAGATTATAACTTTCATCCATTTCTTTCTTTATTTTTGTGTAATCACTTATCAGTGTTGTTGTTATTTTTTGTCGTATCACTTTTGTTTTGCCAAGGTTAAGACATTATCAATATATCAAAATCTGTCATTAATTTTTACAAGAAGTATCATTCGCATGTATGGTCTAATAGTTTTATTTCCATATTATCTGTTTACAATTTAGAAAATGACTAAAAATATAACTTTATTCTGAGAGCAAATGTGAACATGTGAAAAAAGACACTTCCTTTTCATCCTTACAGGTGCATCAACAAAAGTTTTAAAGTTTCAGCAATTTTTTGAATTTTGGAGTTGTGAATATTCTCGTAGTAAGTAACATATTAGAGTACACGACTGAAACACCGTCTAATCGTGGATGCAAAAACGAAGATACCTTAGCGTTTAATATAACTGTTCTCGTTCGGTTTCTGTACAGGCATTAGATTACTGTCACAGTATGGGAATTATGCACAGGGATGTGAAACCGCACAACGTTATGATAGACCATGAAAACCGAAAATTACGGTTAATCGACTGGGGACTTGCGGAGTTTTACCATCCTGGTCAAGAATACAATGTTCGAGTAGCCTCTCGCTATTTCAAAGGCCCAGAATTACTTGTAGATTATCAAGTATGTACATTCTGTATTCTCTATGCCGGAGCGTAGTCGAACAAACGAAATCATAAAGACGGCGAGAGAAAATGAGTTATATACAAGATATGTGCAAGTATTATTTGGAAAACCGATAAGTGACATTCTTTGATGTTTTGCAGATGTACGACTATTCATTAGATATGTGGTCGTTGGGATGTATGCTAGCGAGTATGATATTCAGGAAAGAACCGTTTTTTCATGGACACGATAATTATGACCAATTAGTTCGAATTGCAAAAGTACTCGGGACCGAGGAACTGTTTGAGTATCTTGACAAGTATCATATTGAACTCGACCCACGTTTCAACGACATTTTAGGCCGACATTCGCGTAAGCGTTGGGAACGCTTTGTACATTCAGAAAATCAGCATCTAGTTTCACCGGAGAGCTTGGATTTCCTTGACAAGCTTCTACGCTACGATCATTACGAAAGATTAACTGCGCGTGAAGCTATGGAGCATCCTTACTTTTGTAAGTATGCACATATATGAATTTTGTTACATTCAACGTTTATTTCTTGTAATACAGATTTGCTTCTACGTTTTGCAATACGTTTGCTTCTAGATCCCATAGTAAAAGAACAAGGTCGATTGACTATGGTGTCATCATCACCTACTCCCATGACAGGCTCAGTGCCTGTAGGTGAGTAGCGGCCCAGGTAATGTCACCACCTTAATCTACCTCTAACTCTACTAATCGACATATGTCATATAACTTATACACTGGACTATAAAAAAAAACTCGATACTGTAAAATATATTCTTTCTTTTGTTTCTTTTACGCTTTCGTTATTATTACGCTTATTACGAAATTTGTGTCTTTACGTATATATCTCTTTTTCTAAAATTGCTATATTTTATATATTCATCGTTACAACAAGCTCGTCATATAAAATATAAACCTACATATGCATGTATATACATGCGTATATAATATACATATATATATATATATGTGTGTGTATATGTGTATATTGGTGTCATACAAAACGAATATTTGCTTGTAAAAATTTGCACACGTAAAAATGTGCAAGGATATAATAATCGCAGATGTTTGCACTTTACATCGAAGCAATTTGTATTTAATTAAGATGAAGGAGACGTAAGTTGTAAATATAGTATTACATATAGAAAACATTTATTATATGTTATATATATATATATATATATATGTGTGTGTGTGTGTATATATATATATATATGTGTGTGTATGCATATATGTATATACACGTACAGTTCATATGTTATATTACTTTATACGATCGACACCTACGTTATCTATAATATTAGAACGTAACAAATATAAGAATGCAACGTTTACGAGCAATAATTACATAATACACATACATGATACACTTGGCACATTCTCTTCACAAACATTTGGAATCCCGTTCCTCACGCTGCCGTGCTTAAAGCTCCTGCTGACCGATCGAAATCGAGAAATCGTGATTGTTTGTAAATTTTAACACCGCACTCGACCGTTCTAACGGGAAATGCACCAGTGATCTTACATAACCAGACCGCTGACTCGAATTCTGTCGAACGATATTTTTTGAAATCGTGTAATCGATTCACCATATCGCTTCTCATGCACATCGACCGCGTCAAATTCGCTGTCGATATATACAGCATAATACCGCGCGACATATAATTTACATAGCAACGAATCCCGCGTGTGAAGGTAATTTTTTTTTTAACTAGGAGATCATTACAGATCATCGTGGCGTAACAATGAGCAGCGTACCGGTCCATGGAACAAACGGATTGGAAAGCATGGAAGGCGTTGGAAGCGGGTGTTTGACCCCTTCGGAAGAACTGCCTCAACTCTTATAAGTTCAGCAATTCTGAACGGCAAACCAACTCCCGATCTACTACAGAATATAACAATGCAACAGCAGATATATCGTATCGCCAAGTACATTCTTCTCTGCACCAAAATCATTCTGGTTTGTAACAGCAGCGGCTTCATCGATCCCGTCACTAAGACTGAAGTATCTCACTTTGCTGTGTCTCCTGCAAAAACATATAACCATTCGAAATTCGCGATGTACTTAGAGAATCACGGGAGATTAGGACCTCAGCGTAAAATCAGTCGCGTGAAGACACATGCTCCGTCCATATTGGCCGGTGTGCATGCGATATCAAAGGCAGCGCGTTGCTTACTTCCGTTTCACGACTCGCGATGCGCCCTACTATATCTACTATTTTTTCTGATGTTGCTATTATTATCGTGTTTTTGGCAGATCTATAAATGCATAAAGATGCAGCTAGATCCACTCTCATTCGAAAGACGATTACTCGTGGTTACATGATAACAAGCAAGCGGTGGAGATTTTAAGCAAAAATCACCCGTTCGCATTCACACTTGTACTCGCGTACACATACAGACACGTACACATACACACACACATACACACGTACAAGCACACATACATATACATACCTTAGGCCATTCAGTTTAGTATTTTTAACGACGATAAAAATGTTCGTTTATATCTGATACCACAATAATAGTTGAATAAAATGTTTGTTATAGCCAAGTACTCTTTGTGCTCTGTGAATACCTGCTTCTGTGCGTCCAGCGAGACAAAGTGGCTAATACCGACCAATTTTGGTCGGTCGTTGCTCTTTGAGGAGAATCGAGGCATCGTCGAGTTCGAAGAGACGCGCGATATGCAAGACATCAAAATTAACAGTCTACCCTCAATGTTCGCTAGTGTATTGCATATTGTGTTTTCTCGCGACTGATACGATCGTTCTCCTCTCGGTGAAGACCGCTGAAAAAAGAAAGAAAGATGGAATTGATCCATATCGGGACAAGTGGCAGCTAATGCCAATTTCGATAAACGCAAGCAAAATTCACAGGCACCTCAAACACTTGGCACAAAGTCCGTAAAACGTTATCGACACACACACACACACACACACACACACAAACTGCAGACATACACGCATAGTTTAAAATATTAGAACATGTATATTTGTAAAACTCGGTCTCCATGCGCTGGTCAGTCTTACGCCGACTATTGAACAAGGTTTGCTTTCCATGGTTCCATGGTTCATTAAAAATAACGATATAACGACAGTATCTTTGTTACGAAGTGGATTACACGTGGATTATTATATCGATATAAATAATATGTAAGGTCGACTCATCGTGTACATTCGTGAAGATTTGTATATCGAGACGAGGACATACACACTTGTAAAGAATGTATAGGAATACAACACACGCCCCACTTGTACACTGTATCTTTTTATATCATTTTCCAAGGATTTGTCAGTTCCTAATGTATGATGAATACACAGATGATGCATCATTAAGGCGAGATGTATGAATCAATCGCCATTTGTACTCTCGACAATGCGTACATTGGTCAAGTCAAGCGGAGCGTGAATGAGAAATTGGCATGCTCCGCATTATCGGTTAAATAGTAAAAGTTCGCTTCTCTCAGTCTAACCGCTGCGCCGTTTTTGCCTTATTATCGTGTCGGTCAACATGTACAAGTATGCATGCATATATATATATATATATTATATATACGTACATATATATATATATATAAAATTTTTCAAGGATTTTCAAGGATACACACACGCAACATAAGATACACACACACACACAACACGTAAATAAAAATAGAAAAAAAGTGCATAGACTAATACAAGAACAAGAACGTTGCTGTACGTATAAGATAATTACATTTATGTAAAGAGCGCTGAAACCACACTATTCACGCGGTTTGGCGATAGATATGAGTAATTTTTCTTTTTTTTTTTATTTTTATTTCCATTCGGCTGTCGCACGCCGTATCGTCAAAGTTATTTATGCTGTTGTTAGCACGTATGACGAAATGACTAACTCGGATGACGGAGAAAGGAACGAAAGTCGCTTTTACACGGCAAGAACGGCGCAAATATGTTACACACAAAATCAAACAATACACACACATACACATGCGCCGCATACATATACACATGTACACGTACTTGTTTAACCAAGTTTTATACCCTTTCCTGTTCATAATGTTACGTTTACGATAATCTAGTTTAGTTTTATAGAGAAAAAAGAATACTAGGCGGGGTGGAAAGGGGGGGGGGGAATAATTACTATTTAAATAAGCAAAAGAATTAGCTTGAAGAAATGAAGATAATGAATTGTCACTGATAGAAATAATAACACTGCGCTGATGACTTTTTGAGCTATGATACCTTTTTCCTCGCGTCCTAATAACAAATCGCTCTAGAGAGAAAGAAAGAAAAAAAGAGAAGAAAGATCAAAATATACGATGACGGATAAAAATTTGTTTGAAGCACCTCGCTCTCCCGACTTCGAATTTCGAATCGAAGCTGGTGCTTCAAACGAATTCGATTTTTCTTTCCTTTTCTTTTGTCGTGCGCTCGCTCACTCGCTCGCTCGCAGAAAACGGTCATACATGTACGACAAAACTGTGCACTGGATTATTTTTCATTTCATGCGGTTCAAATTGACGAGGTTGACGATCTTGTTTCTTTTTCCTTTTTCCTGTCTTTTTTTTTTCTTTTTCTTTTTTTGCTACTCCACCATGTTCATCTCGTTAATTTTTTCTCCAAACAATACAATATCGATCGATATTGAAAAAGAAAGAAAAGAAAAAAAATTACCGCCATAGGTATATGCTAATCCGAAATGTGCTACGACACAAAATATTTTGACATGATTAAGGTACGACAATAAAATTTGCCAAAGTGCGCAGGATTGCATTGATTTTAAACTTCCGTAACTCGCGAAGGACGACGTGTAGCGTATTTAATATTTTTGCGATATCTATGTCGAATATTCATGGATGCGACTTATAAAATAACATTAAAAAGACACAGACTACTTCATTCTCTGTCGCGAAACATCACGGACTTTGTCCGCGTGAGCACAATGTAACGATACGGTGTCATGCGACGCCAGGTACGCTACGAAAATCAAAAATAATGAAAGAAGGGGAGTAAAAACCAAAGTAACGGTTGCGATTAAAAGTTAGAAACAAATACAATCTCGCTCTTAACAAAACCAATTGACCTCTGTCTCCTAATAACGATTACGTTTTTTTTTTCCTTTTCTACGATTTCCCGTTGATTTGCAGTTTGTTGAACGTTGCAAAACTGACGTGTAACATTGAGTTACATAATGAACTCTCAAGCTGCAGATAAAGTGTATGTTTGCGAAATTACATAAAACACCTCTCTTTGATTCGTCATCACGTTCTGTTTTCTTTTTTCTAATTTTTGTAGCATCGAATGAACATTCATGTTTTTATTATTTCTCTCTCGTGGGAGATATTAATCAGTTGTAGACAATTCGATGAACTGCAAAGTGATTTCAACTGATTTTATTTGCGCCAGCAATAATTATCGTTTTCGTGTACTTTTCGCGAACAAAATACGAAGAGGGAAGAAAATTGATGTTACTGACAGTGAAAATTCGTGCAGTTCGCTATGCGTTTCCGAGAAACGTAGATGATGATAGATGGAGCCTCGGGGTCAATGACTGCTACATGTGTGAGTGGGACTTGATGGAAGAGGAAGAAAGGAAGTGAGAGTTAAAAGGACATCAGCGTGTCAATCAGTTGAGACTAGGAACAGCTGTGTGAGAGAGCTATAGGAACAATTAATCTTGGTCTCAAATAGCAATTTTTTAGTCATTGCAAGATGAGTGAGGATGAATGCTTGCGAAGGAGAATCAGAGAACTCGAAAACGAGCTAGAAGTAAGGAGAAAAAAGGACGCGGTGTCCATGAGAGAAAAGATCGAACATATGTCAGCGGAGGTGGTGGATTCGAATCCGTACAGGTAGATCCTGAATTTTCATTCCCGTTGTATAATTAATGATATTAAATATACATGCATTGTGTCCTACTGTTCGGTTTTTCTCTTCAATGGTGACTCTCCATCGCTTCAGTCGGTTGATGGCACTCAAGCGTATGGGTATCGTAGATAATTACGAGAAAATCAGGGAATTGACCATAGCCATAGTCGGGATTGGTGGTGTCGGCAGTGTGACGGCTGAGATGCTGACGAGATGTGGTATTGGCAAGGTAAATAAACGGCGATAATTTCTCTTGTCCTCTGCTGTAACAATTATCTAGCGAGTAATACATATTTACGAATGTTTCAGCTGATATTATTCGACTATGATTGCGTAGAATTAGCCAATATGAACAGGCTGTTCTTTCAACCGCATCAAGCAGGTCAGAGCAAAGTGGTAGCTGCGGCATGCACCTTGCAGCACATAAATCCCGATGTGGAGATTGAAACATGCGATTACAATATTACATCCGTCGATTATTTTCAAAACTTTATGCACACAATAAGGTATAGATTGCCATGTCCAATTGCGTGCCTTTTTAATATTAAATTAATTAATATTAATATTCTGTATTCTTCTACCTCTGTCACAGTAGATTCGGGAGTTTTCGTCATATTGTTAAGTGGTAATTTTTTTTGTAGTTGCTTTAAAAATACACATGTGCTTTCACAGTAAATGCAGTTTGAAAAAAGGCCCGGTCGATTTGGTATTGAGTTGCGTTGATAACTATGAAGCTCGCATGACGGTTAACTTAGCGTGCAATGAACTTAATCTGAGGTGGTTCGAAAGTGGCGTTTCTGAAAATGCCATGTCCTGTCACATTCAGTTTATCAAACCTGGTGAAACAGCCTGTTACTCGGTAAGATTAACGTAAATTTATTTGATATATATATCTCATCTAATTCTATTAGATATGATTTATTAAGAATATAATTATATCTAATACACAATTATATATTAATCACATATAGAAATTGTGTATAATTATATTAGATATACATCTGATATAATCTATACATCTCTCTGATATATAGATAATATTGGAGAGATCTGTATTTTATAATTATTTTATCGTTACCTTCGAATTTTCAGTGTGCTCCACCTTTGATCGTTGCGTCTAGCATCGACGAGAAGACCCTGAAGCGCGAAGGCGTATGTGCCGCGTCGTTACCCACCACGATGAGCATAGTGGCAGGTTTCCTAGTGCAGAACACTTTAAAGCTTCTGCTGGAATTTGGCCAAGTGTCTCACTACTTGGGTTACAATGCTATGGAAGATTTCTTCCCTAAAATGACCCTGAAGCCGAATCCGAATTGCAGCGATTCTCTTTGCCGGAAAAGACAGCAAGAGTATTTATCAAAGACAAAAGATCAACAGCCGAATTCGTCCAAAGCAACGCTTGAAGAGAAAGCTGACCTGGAGAAGCCCGAAAAGCACGAAGAGAACGAGTGGGGTATGTACAGACGAATAGTTATAAACTCTACATGTACGAATTCAATATTAACTGAATATTATTTTGCTCCATAGGAATCTCATTGGTAGACGAGGGACAGTCGGACAAAGAATCAAGTGTATCGACAGCCCCGGGTGTACGACGCGCGTACGCTCCGCCTACGCAACCATCCGACGCGGAAAGCGAACAAACCGTTCCCGAATCCACAAGTTTAGAGGAACTAATGGCAGAAATGAAATGTATCTGAAGATAATTTGGTGTCGAGTATACACATTCCACACTTGCAACATTTCGAATATTTGTATCTATCTGTATTAAACGTGACTTATTTTTGATTCATAAATTCTTTTTTCTTTTTAATTACGGTATTTTCTGTAATAAATAATATGTAAAGAAGAATTAAATATCAAACTTTTCGAAACACACAGACGGCCCTTCTTCCTCGTACTCTTCTCTTGTCACTGACAGATTGGAGAATATCGCTTCTTGCGAAAGCTTTTTCCCACCGTGCCATGCATAAGTAATCGGGCTGAAAGTAAAAACAAATTCATTAGTAAGTTCCTTTCAACGTAACGAGAACGGTAGAACGTATAAAATACTTTTGTGGTAAATAGACGTTTATCGCGTATTCCGCCGGAGCTAAACTTCTGACTTCCTTGTAGACTCTGTCTCTGAATCCCGGAAATTTCGCGTTACCACCAGTAAGAATGATATTTGATAAAAGGTGGGGCCACATCTCTTCGCCGCAAGCCTTTACAGAGTCCATGATAGCTTCAGGAATTCCCATTTGTCGAATACCAATATCTGATGGATGAAATAATATCTCTGGTATCGCGAATCTTTCATTAGTTAAGCGTAATGTCTGTTGCTCATTGGGTGGTTCTGGATCTTTAAGGTATCCACGTCGTAATGTTGTATAATCCGGTAATACGTAATCTTTAGTGATTGTATTGTTATCCAATTTGTACTTGGCTCTTTCCATGTCCTTAAAGAAATCTTGCGAAACAAAGCAGGAATCTTCTTTCACCTGGTTAATCACATACGTCTCATCCATAACATGTAACTGGCGGTAAGATATTATCTCTTTCAGGTGATTTGTCAGAAGCTTGCCACCCACATCTATCCTTCGTATTCCTTCCTTCACTTTTATATCATTAATATAAGGTACTATATGTGTAAAACTGTAACCACTGTCAACTACTACACAGCATTTTGCAGCAGGATTCTCCGCTCTATAATTATAACAGGAAAGGCTCGCTGCATTTATCCCTAGAAGACTATGACACTCGTATTCTTCAAAGAAAATTTCTGTCATAGCTTCTTGAATATTGATAAAATTAAACAGTGATTCTGTGACTATCACAGACATTTGGCTCAAGTTTACTGAACAGGATTCCTTCGAGAGTATATAGTCCCATACAGTTTTCTGAATATCCCAGTTTACCAGATAACCTTTTTGGAAAGGTAAAATGTAGAAGAGACCGGAAGCGTCCCTACATTCTTCGATTTGATTTCCTACAAAAGGTCTGCGACGCTCGCTCTTTGCTTTCATTATACAGTTCGGTACCAGTCTAAAACATTTTCATACATAAATTAAATATATATTGTTAGCTGCATAATTTTCAGCTGCATTTAGTTGCGTTGACATTCTACTCACTTGGGTGTCTCTACGGATAAACCAGCTTTTGCCGTGTAAGCACCATTATCGAGAATAAAGGTAGAATTGCTCATTTTAAGCTCTTAAACACGACATTGAACATACAACAAAACTAACAATAAATCTCCTTGTAATAGCAGTAACAGTTACAACAAAAATTTAAAAAGAGCCCGAAGTATTTTTACCGGTGCTGAGAATAACCATCAGGGCGTGCAAACTCTTATGGAGCGAAAATGATTAGCGTTAGCAGCGCTCTCTGAGAGCGCGTATGGTACTTGAAGGGAGAATATGATTGGTTCCGCTATTTTGCTTCAAATAAGCTCTCAGCCAATTAAAATTATGACCGATTGACCGGACTCCTATTCGAGGGTCACTAGGCTCGGTTAAAAGTGGCCTATGACCTCTCTCCTTCTTCTTTCTGCTTTGACGTTTAAGATTTTAACTAAGACTCAAACCACAATTTATTGTCTTTAAAATTTAGTCAAGACTCAAACTATAATTTACCGATTTCAACAAATACAGCTTAGACTTGAACCGACTTTAATATTTTTCTGCAGAAACTATCTTCTCGTTGTTTTAGAAAAATATTAATTTTTATATACAAAACTTCTTTTTTAGTTAAACTTACAATTATAAAGCTATATATATAATGTATATATTTTTAAATATTTTGTAGCATTTTGTAATATTTTAAATATTTCCTCCGATTGCACACATTATATAACATAATGGATAGTAATTCAAGTGACACAGGCTCTAAAGTAATTCAAATAGAGCTTAAACATTATATGTTGTTTTAATAAGCTGCACAATGCTTGCATTTCGTTTGATACGCTTGCACGAAATAGTGTTTCGATGTGGGTGGAAGGATAATGAATATCTCTGTGACACCGTCGGGACTGAAATCGTTTAATTGTGTCTCTGTACATAAAACAATAAAAATTTAACATAAATTCATTCTGGAAATTACTATGATATATTAGCATTTGATGTATAGTGCTAACGCTACAGTACATGCTCGATACCTTCTAAATTTATTCCTTTTAATACAGACGTTTTTTTATTTTCTTTTTTCTTTTCTTTTTAAATATGATTACGGTCAACGTTGCAAAAGTTGCGGCTTTTGTTTTTCGTGTCGAGGATAGAGCTCTTTGCACAAAAATTCACATAAGAGCACAAAGTAACGAAGAGTGTGGGCGCGCGCGCGCGCGTGTCATATATGTTTTACGTGTATATGCGCATGGTGTGTGGACGCCTCGATCTCTCAACCGAACAAACTTATAAAATAAATTCTGCGGAATTGTGGCTCGCGTGTTCGATGGTCTCGTTGATCGAAACGTCCATGCCGACGGACTTAAGTTTTTAAGTAAATTTCTGTATTTTTACACCACGCGCGATACGATTGAGGATCTCTCCCCATACGTGCTCCTTTCCCTCACACAACCGTGTACTAAACTTGTATAAGTCCCGTTACCTATAAGAGGGCTGTTTCGGTAAATTAATATCCTATCTCATTGAAGTAATCAAGTATAATTATCTTTTTATATAACCCTATATGTATATGTATACATACATATATATATATATTTATATATATTTATATATTTATATTCATATTTATATTTATATACCTTCGTATAATATACCACAAATTGTATTATTATTAATATAATACAATATATCGATTATGTTTACATTATAACTTATAAACCTACAGAGAATATATCTCGTATATTTACATAAGGATATTAAAAACATTCGTGATAAAATTCATATAAAGAGGAAAGAAGAAAGACAGAAGAACAAAGAAAAGGCAGAAAAAGGAAAAAGAAAACGAAATCAGTCCGTTCGGACGAACTGTCGTTTGGGAGAGACGCTGGCCTATTGACGTACATAGGCGCAACCTCGCATGTCCGCGTGTCAGATATCGCGAGATTATCATCGCTGAATCGAATGCGTGGAAGGACATATTTTCTTTCCCGTTTCGTACATAAGAATTCTTCACGTTGTACCGGTTTATTTCAAGGCCTACGTTACAAGTGCATTTCAACCGGCGATCGCAAACGCGTGAGATTTTTCTCGGACCGTTCTCAGGCAATCGACTCGTACAATAGCGAGAGAATGTTGCGTATGACATTCTCAAATAATATCGGGGTTATGAGTCGTTTTCCTCTCTCTCTCTCTCTCTCTCTCTCTCTCTCTCTCTCTCTCTCTATATATATATCTCCCCCCCTCTCTCTCTCTCTCTTTTTTGCAACACTGCAACATCAAATCTCCGTGTGTCTTCGACTTTATATTTCAATTTACAAACGTATATATATATATATATACATATATGTATATATATGTATATACCGAGAAAGAGAGAGAGAGAGAGAGAGAGAGAGAGAGAGAGAGAGAGAGAAAGAGAGAGAGAGATATTTTGCTTTTCTTTTCGTTTATATCTAAAAATGATCGAGCCATTTACGATGATGTGCTCGACAACTTCCGCGTGACCTATCTCGATATGACTGGGCTATTTGTGTTTAAAAACGTTACATCGGTAACTAGTCACATCCGCACTAGCGGTATACGCGTTTGGAAGGCGCTGACAGAGAAGACACGCAATTCAAAATCAATACGGGGAATGCATTTTTCGCGTCTTCTTTACGACGTTGATTGGTACGCGCGTTTAGAAAAATATCGGATCCGCGTTGTCTAGTGTTGTCTCGACCGTTCTGATTTTACCGCTCTTCTTTTTACGTACTGTCCGTAATTTTACATATGAAAAACTGTACTGTTACCTATTGATTGGCTCTGTAGTATCGATATAAAAATAAGTCGCACAGTAACGTCCTGTTTTATTCGTATTGTTTCTAGTCTAGATGCGTAATATTTAGGTCTTCTTTCAGACCGCGATGGAACCGGAGGCTAATTAGTATCATACATATACATGTATATACGTGCTATTTTTATCTAAGAGAACGGTACTACACGAAAATACGGATTCTTCGCGCGTGTCCGTCAGTCGAATGTATTCCACATCGTACGAACAGAGACGGAATGCACAACACTCTCTTGTGGAAAGCTGACCACAAAGATCGGGCTATGTGTGTGAGACAAAAATCAAAAGATTCTCCCGCGATCATGGTGGACGATACTCGCGTGACGCAATACACGAGATGAGAGAGACCCAACCGTAAGAGAAAGTACGCTGCCGCGACTTGTTGCTGTCCGAACGAAGTTTCATACGTATCACGCGATGAGCTGGAATTGCATTACATTATTAAAAGAAAACTAAAACAAAGAGGGAAAGACGAGAAACGATCGTTTACATCTAACGGCGATTCAACTCAAACGGGATGCACTTCCGCGTTAATGAAACAATGAAAAATGTACACCTAATCGGAAATATGTGTGTATGTATATACGAATATATCTCCTAAAATTCTCTTATATAAGAACCCCATATGTATTAAAGTGAAACATGACAATTAGTGACCATGGCACTGTCACGTCATACAGCACACTATTACAAATCCTCCTCCTCCTCCTCCACCTCCTTCTCCTCCTCCTCTCATCCTCGTTCATTGCTCTCACGTCGCGAACGAAACGCACGTTGGAACGTAGTGCAGACTTATTTACACGTTTCACACGCTGCTTCCGTGTTTTCTTCTTTTTTTTATTACTTGTACTGTGTCATTTGTCGACGTCGTAATGACGAGTGCAAAAATGTTTTAAGAAACACAGCTCTCGAGACAATTCAATTCAAAGAGCAAGTCTTTGCGACGCTTGCCAATGAACTTATGATTGAAAGAAAAACACCGTGGCTCTCTAACTATAACATTAGGAAAAAAGAAACAAAAAAAGGGGGGGAGAGAAACAAATGTATAATTATGTCTATACAATTGGCACGCCTTGCCTGTCAGTAAGGAATATCTGAGAGTACAAAACAGTTGGTTGTCGATTCATTTCTAATAAGTGTATACGCACTTTTTACATTGCTCAAGTTGCAATACACTCCTTACAAACGAAGACCTTTGGCCAGAGTAATGAGTTTTTTTGGATAAGGCTTTTCAATGTATATTCTAAGTTCTCTTTCTAAAAAGAAACGATTTTATCTGTACTTTTCGCGCCTCTGTTTCACACACACATACACGCACACAAACACACTCGCTCTCTCACATGAAACACACCTGTATATAATCATTCATTATTCGCATACGCATTTGTAGACTGTCCGTCAACATTTCTAATGTGTTGTATGTTGCACAAACAGTCTTGATCCTTTAAAAAGTTGCCATTCACCAACCTATATACACATCCGTTTAAATATCTTACTTTACAGGTTAACAGCGGGCCATTAAGCTGTGAGGCCATTGAGTAGTCGATTAGCACAGTCCATCCCTTGCAAAACACTTATTTCACCGTGGAGTAATTTTGCTGAGGATTTTGATTTGAGGATACCCACGTGTTGAATACATCTCTGAAATAGACGACGAAGCAGATGTAGGTGTGAAGTAAAGAAGGAAAGTTTATATATAGTGAACTTTACAAGAGTAAAATCCCGATCGCGTTCGTTTTGTGTACGATTTTTTGCGAGATATGTGACGATATGTTCACAAAAATTTCCAGTAGAGAGAGAGAGAGAGAGAGAGAGAGAGGAGAGAGAGAGAGAGAGAGAGAGAGAGAGAGAGAGAGAGAGAGAGAGAGAGAGAGAGAGAGGAGAGAGAAAGAGATAGTGAGTTTAATGCTCACGCAAACCTGCAATGGCTAACCACGCATTCGTTACTGCAGTATTCGTCCTCCCACTCGTTATTGGATATAGCAGGATTGGGACAACCGTGATGTATACAAGGTGGAGGTGGCCTTTGTCCCGTCATAGCCACTTGCGAGGGATTCACTGGCGATGAATTCGACAAAGTCTCTTCAGACTTGATAAAATCTCCCCTAGGTGGACTCATGTGTATTATTTGTTGCTGCTGTTGTTGCTGCACCTGCACCTGCTGCACCTGCTGTTGCTGCGGTACCTATACGTAACATAAATTGTAACAAAGCTATAAAAATTCACAAATAGTACATATCACCAAACAACATATACCGGACGCCGAGCCAGAGCAGCGAAACGAGTTGACCAACCTGCATATATTGTTGCTGAGAGACCTGCTGTTGCATATGCTGCTGTTGCTGTTGCGTCATGTGCGGTGGCGCCATCACGTTGCCCATTAAACCCTGCAAAAAGGAACAAAATCACATGCGGCTTTCCTCGAGGTCGAGGTCGTTCACACGTCTTTTTCTCCGTGCTCGCGACTCAGATTACCGGATAAATCATTGTTATAACCAAGTGAGGAAAGTAAAGGCGCAGATTTTTTTCGTAGATAAACAAGCGTAGAAGGCGAATGTCTGTGCAAACGAAGCGAATCCTGCTCAGCGTACACAAAAGTGCGCGATGAATACAATCCCCTTCGTCAAATAATTCTACCGCGTATGAAGCTGTCGTACCTGTTGTTGAGGATTTCCCTGCATCGCCAAGTGATGCGGCGACTTCTTGTTGATGGCCATCTGCTGCTGTTGCTGCTGCTGCTGTTGCTGTTGATGCTGCTGCTGAGGCGACGGAGGTTGATGCTGCGGGCTGTATACCTGATATGTTACATTTCCAGGAGCAGCGTTACCAGCGTAGCTCGAATATCCGCTGTATTGCATCTGTTGCTGCTGCTGCTGCTGCTGTTGCTGCTGCTGGGGTTGCTGTTGCTGTTCGTTCTCACCCGCGCCCTTGCTGACCAGGGATGCCCTGTACGCTGCGAGCGCCTTCAGATATTCCTTCTTGGCCGCCTCGGTCTTCTTTTTGTAAACCTACGAGAGATTCGCACGTTGATTTATCGACAATCGAGGAAACATCCTGCTGTGCTATTACACACACGAGTCAACTAGACCAATACGATTAAACAATCGCACAGAAACACACGATTGATATCAAGCTTGCGATTAATATAATTCGATAACACAAGACCGTTCATACGCGCCATAAACACTTACATTTTTGTGCTCAGTTTCTAACGCGTCCCACATGGACGCGACGATCTTCGACACCTCGCCGAAGGTGGCGGTTGGATTTTGCCCCTTGATCGCCGCCTGAGTGTCTCTGAAGAAAAGGGCGTACGCCGACACCGGTCTGTGAACATCGATCGAACGAACGTGTGAGATTTACCGGCGGTCGCTGCGAATGTAATAATCATTTAAATCCGTGTGTGCTAAGGACGCTTCGAAAATAGAACGCGCGGTTCTGATTTGCCGGTCCTCTTCCGCAGCAGGGTTATCGCACCGCCCCGGCTACATTTATTCCTCGTCCTCTTTAACAAGCCGCCAGCGTGCTGGCGACCATTCCAACGGGAATATCGAGGGGTTCATGTTTCTATAGTTGAACAGATATAGCTTAGCTTCCTCTCTCTCCCTCCCCCGCCCCCTCCCTCTTTCTCTCCATTCTACACTGCACACTGTAACATCGAGCCTCGCCCCCGCCCCCGCCCTCGCTCTCTCTCTTGCTCGTCCTCGCCTCCGCTGTCCCTTCGCTCGTCCTAGCCGCCGCGGCTTCCTCTTGTCCCAACATGTCCTACATTTACATCGCAACAATAACGTTAATTGCTAATTTACAACGGCAATAACTTACGCCGGTTAATGCGAGACCACCACTGGCGTAGACGTGGAATTGTTGACACGTAATACCTTTGATATACGCTATATGATTTAGCGTATACCAAACGGAATAATGCCGTTCCCGTGCGTGTAGCCGACGTACTTCTGTATTTGTCGCGCGCAAACACGGATAATACTAATTCAACGGAAATACGCTCCGTTGTGCTCGCGTAGTTTCGCATTGTTGCGGGGAACACGCGCGAAGAGAATTGCTTTTTTCTTACGCTACGTATATTTATATCTCTCGGCACGAGCAATAAAATTTCGCCCGGAGAGCAAAGCGAGACATATTTTTTCCGAGGGCGAGAGAGAGAGAGAGAGAGAGAGAGAGAGAGAGGGGGGGGGAGAGAAACGTTGAAACGGTGTCATCCTCCGTGCGGAACTTTGCTCGGGACGAGCTTCCGCGAGATTTAACAGATACAGACGGATCTCTCAGACCTCATCTCTCTCCTCTCTTTTCTTCCCTTTCTTCCTTTCTTTCCTTCTTTCTTTCTTTCTTTCATTCCTTCTTTCTTTTTTTCTTTGTTGATAATAACTAGAACGTTGTTACTCACTTTTGTGGCTCGTTGGGGTCTCTCTTCTTCTTCTTCTTCTGCGGCTTTGTTTTCCTTTGGTTCTTCGCCCCGGCGTCGGCCGGTTCCGGCGACAGTCGTTTCATCACCGTGATCTGAAGGGGAAAGGGAGAAGAAGGATATACGTGTACGCACATATTATGTGTAAAAATGTATCCACGTTCACTACGAACTGAGAAACCTCGGAAATTGCCGTAATTGAAAACGTTTCATTACCGACGATCGCGCGCGATCTTCCTCGAGCGGATAATATTTTAATGCGGAAGATAATAGGCGTTATGTAACGGTGCGCGGTGGTTTATCCAGCCAACCGACCAAATCTACGCGGTAGAAAAGAAAAAAGAAAAAAAAAAAGAAAAAAAAACTGCGCGAGAATAGTAGTAAATATAGATAGCGGAGGAAACATGGTGTTGATATTAGCGCTTAGAAAAATTCGTTTGGCCAATTGCACGATCGAACGATAATTTGCATAAAAACACGTCAATAACGATGATTTATGTAGTTGCACGTGACTCGACTCACCATTCCGGAATGCGGAGTACTGTCGTCGCTGTCTTCACTCGTCGTGGTGTTGTTGTTCGCCTCCGGGATATTGTTGGCCTGTATAGCGTTTGGGCTGCCTCCGGTGGGACTCCTGTATTGTATCTGCTGCTGTTGTTGCTGCTGCTGTTGCTGTTGCTGCTGCTGCTGCTGTTGCAGCTGCTGCTGCTGCGGTTGCTGCTGAGAATGCATGTACTGCATGTGCTGCATCTGAACTTGCTGCTGCTGCTGCTGCTGTTGCTGCTGCTGTTGCTGCTGCAGCATCATCAGCTGCTGTCCGCTGTGTTGCTGCTGACGCGGTGAGCTCATCGTCGCGTACGAGCTCTGGGAGCTGCCGTATGCCGAGCTGCGAATACACGCGATATAGAGAAAGAGAGACAATGATGAAGAGATTCTTTTAGAAAAACGATAAGAGGATTCTCTTTCCTCTCACGAGTCGCACACGCTGGAGGAAGAAACGCGGACCCGCTGCGACGAGAGTAACTGAAAAGCGCACGCGGCTTTTGAGAGAAACATTCGCGCGCCGCGTGATGCACACGAGAGAGAGAGAGAGAGAGAGAGAGAGAAAGAGACCGTGAGAGAGACCGTTGTTGTCGGCTCGTTACGTTTTTCCATTCGCGGTCGATTTGTCTCCGCTGACTTTTATCGCCGAGCGATCGTAAATCGCGGCCGTTCGCGCGGACTATATCGCGATTTAACCGTTTTCTCGGATATACAACGGACAGACGGAAACGCAGAAATTGCTTCGGAACGCTCGCTCGCTCGAGCTCCTCCGGAGCGAAGGAGCGCGCGCGTTAAGAGCGTGTGCTGGTGGTCTCTCTTTCTCTCTCTCTCTCTCTCTCTCTCTCTCTCTCTCTCTCTCTCTCGGCGGAGCGGCGAGCGCGCGAGCGTGTGCGTAAATCGCTCTTCGGCCGAGATAAACGCATCGGGAACGAGGTTCGAGCGGCGATGTCGGCGAAAGAAGGTGAATATACGTGTACAGCGCCATACACCTTCGCTATTTTAACGCAAATTGGATAACTTTTGAGATATGGCCGGCGCTGCGTCAGCGTCGGAGGATTTACAGCCTACTCTATATCATTTCCCTTCTGTCCTCCTTCTGCTTCAGCCCGCGCGCCCTAATGTTTCCACTACTACCTTCTCTCCCACCGACGGCGACGGAGCGCCGTCGAGAGAGAGAGAGAGAGAGAGAGAGAGAGAGAGAGAGAGAGAGAGAGAGAGAGAGAGAGAGCACATTGAGTTTACACCCTCTTTCCAGGCTCCTATCGACCCGTGGAAATCCGAAGCGCTATTTCGGAGAAATAGCGTCGTATTTGCGACGGCTTCCACATTTTCCTCTCTTCTCCCCTCCCCCTTCCCCTCTGTTTTTCTTCCCGTCCTCCCCCGTGCCCCGCCCCCCGCCATTCGCGAACGATTAAAAGTAACACCGTTGCTTGCTTTTCAATCTAAGCGGAAGCGAGTTTCACATCTCGACGAACTAATCCCGACGTGTAGCTTCAGCCTCGAGTTGTTTACGCGCCCGAGCGAAACTTGGAATCCGACGACATTGGCGAGGAGAGAAAAAAAAAACGAAAAGAGAGAAACAGACCGGCGGTTCTCGCGACGGAGGCTCGTCGCGCGGCAGGCAGCGGGCACAGCCTTTCGGTGCGTTTGCTTCTCTCGTTTCGACACGCCGTCTTTCGTAACTCGCCGTTTCTCTCTGTCGTATTTTGCTCCCGAGGTCGACGAATCTCGTCCCATTTAATCCGGATTTGTTAATTCAGCCCGATATCCCCTTCGAGCGTGTGTCGACCGTCACTTGCAAGCGACGACTTCTTTTCCGAACGAGCCGATTTCCCTCCTTCGCGGGACCGATGGGCCGCATCTCGACGATCGACGATACTTTTCCATTCGGTGCATACGTACACACCTACGTACACATACGTATGCATGTATGCCTCCCCTGCCTAACCGGAGTGATTACAGTATGTAATTCGCGGAGCAAAGTACTCGTTCGCTCGATACTATTCACTCTCGGCGCGGCTCCGGGTAGGAGAGGCCGAGAGGGCTACCCCCGGACGAGAGGAGAGCGACGAAGGGCTCCGAGACGCGATCTCCCATGTCCGAAGCTCTCTCGCGAGAGAGCTACGTGCGTCCGTTAAAAAAGAAAGAAAAAAAGAGAGACAGGGAGAAAAAGACAGAGAGAGAGAGAGAGAGAGAGAGAGGGGGGAGGGGGAGAAGAGACGAAAAAGAGTCTCGACGTCCTAAATTGCGGTCGTAAGACTACGTAATGGCAGGTTCTCACGAACGTTACTCGGTAGGCTTAATACACGGTAAATCATAGCCTCGGTGTATACCTCTTGCGTAGACGCAAGGCAGCCACGCACTGCGCGCGCGCGCGCGCGAGCGCACGCACGCACGCACGCACGCACGCACGCATGCACGCGGGGCAGCGTGTACATCTGTTTGTTCCTACATACAGCCGACCATTTTCCTTCATTTCGCCGCGGAACAAAGAAAGGAGAGCTCGCGTCCTCGCGGTTAAAGGCGAGGCGCGTATAATCCTAACGGAAGGCAGTGAGAAACGTTATTAACATTCCCGTGCAAGAGAAAAAGAGAGAGAGAGAGAGAGAGAGGGAGGGAGAGAGAGAGAGAGAAAAGGAGAAGAAAAGCGAAAAGAGAAGAAAAGAACGAAGAAAAATATTGTCGAGGAACAAAGGCAGGAATCGCGCACCGGCGCGTCGCCGATCTCCCTGGCCGATTATGTTCTCTGCTCTCTATTACGGAATGATACGGTTTGTCCAACTCTCTTAACCCGGGATTTCCATCGGAAATCACACGCGGCAAAGGGGGAGGGGAAGATAGTATCCGTTGTATCGACGGATCTATTATATCGAAAGTAGCCTCATCCCCCATCGCGAGAGAAAATATCCGGCCCTTCTCGCTCTCATTTATTTGTTTTTAATTTTACCGCGCGCCCCTCAATCACGCGTCTCTTGGTACCCTCGGTATTAAGAGATTACGCGGCGAGCGTACTTTTCGTCGTTACGTACGTATGTACGTACGTACGTACGTACGACGATCAAAATTGGGTTTACCGAAATTGCTGCGGGGCAGCGTGCAATAACGAGGTAAGTCGAATTTCCATAATTCGGAGTTATGCAAACTGTATACGACGGTGCGCGATGTTTGCTGTATACACCGCGAGAGAACGTGAGTGAGAGAACGTGAGAGAGAGAGAGAGAGAGAGATAGAGAGAGAGAGAGAGAGAGAGAGAGAGAGAAAGAGAGAATATATCGCTAATTCAACAATCTTCCATTCGCGGTATTTCGTTGGAGTTTCGCGAGTTAACGCGGTAATTGTCGTTGTTAACGTTGCGGGCGAACGTCGGTCCCTCGGCTTGCCGCGGCGGGGGAGGAATCGCAGCCCGTATAATTCCCGACTCTCGAGTTCATTCTCTCTGCACGCTCTCCGCGCCTATGTGTGTGTTGTGTGTGTTTGCGCGCGCGCGCGCATAGCGCCCTCGGCGTATTAGCGATTTTAAATCGTTTCGGTGCGGTTCCGTCTGTTCTTCGTCGTAAAAGAGACGGAGGGAGAGAAACGGAAAATCGGGTGAACAGATGTCCGCGCGATGTTCCACGGAAACGAAGACAACCCCCGAGAATCTGTAGGAAGCCCGACACCGCTTCTCCTCCTAGGAACGCGCGGAGTCGTCCTCCGCTGCTCGTTCGCTCCGTCTCTCGGAGAAGCGCGTCATCGGCGCCTGTGTGAACGATCGCGCATAATGGAGAACCGAGGGTGTCGGACGCTCATTAATCTTGCTTTGTTACGCCTGGAGCTGCGTATTCTCCAATCATCGCGCCGCTTGTTCGAACTCTGCTGCTTGCGCTTCTCTCTCTCTCTCTCTCTCTCTCTCTCTCTCTCTCTCTCCTTCTTTCTCTCCCGTTCTTCGTGCTGGAAGAACGGCGAGAAAAAGACGGGGCCCGAGAGAGTCGTCGCGGCGGCGACGTTTCGCTTTTTCGAGAGCTTCCTCTCGCGGGAGCGCGCGCGGATATCCTTCGGTCCTGGCCCGTCTAATTCGGGAACAGCACGAGCTGGAATTCGATTTGCCGGAGAGAGAACAAGTTTCCGCCACCTCGTTCGTGCACACCTACCTCCCTCAAACCCCTTCTCCTCCTTCTCTCCCCCTCTCCCCCTAGCCCTCGTTCTATTATTAATCGATCCGTTAATATGCGTTCGCGATACCGCGAAGTACGCGCATGAAAAGCTCGGGGGCTTCAGACGTCGTACGACAACGTACGACGATTCCGATACGTTAACGTTAACGTCAACGACGTTAGGCAGGGTCGGCTAGTCGAGTCGTGCCTCACCTGACATTGATCGGTTGCATCGAGTGTTCCTGTTGCAGATAGAGCTGTTGCTGATAACCACCGGCGTCCAGGCTCAGGCCGTCCGGTGATTGCTGCATACCGCTACCTTGCATCATCTGTAATAATAATTTAACGCACCGTGTGAAAGAAGGGAGGAAAAAGGAGAGGAAGAAAGAATAGAAGAGGAGTAGCGCGAGCACGCAAACGTTTGCGCACACCGGGCGGAAAACCGCGTGATTTGTCCGGCAAAGAGAAAAAGAGAAGGCAGGAGGAGGGAGGGGAGGGGGGGACGGGGAGAAAAGAGAGAGAGAGAGAGAGAGAGAGAGAGAGAGAGAGAGAGAGGGAAACTTTTGATCGCGACTGGTACAGTTCAACGGTCGCATCCGGTTGGTAAATACCGGCTTAAAAATGCACAAATCGCGCAAAACGACGCGACAGCTTTGCGGCTATTCGGGGTATTTCATTCCCTTTGATGGTATTATGGAAACGCCGCTTTTTATTATCGACACTGCGAGTCGGCGTAAAAATATCGCGGTCACGCGCGGCGAATCGCTGCAAATCTGACGCGGTGGAATATCGTGCGAGTTAATTATTTCGCCCGGAGCTCTTCCCTCGAGCCGGTAAAGATCGCAGAATTTCTACTGAGCGCGTTTCAATGTTTCTTTATCTCTCTTTATCTCGAGGTCAAAGGAGAGAGAAGAGAAGAACGTGGATGGGGGAGGAAGGAGAATGGAAAAGGAAATGAGCGAGCGAGAGAGAGAGAGAGAGAGAGAGAGAGAGAGAGAGAAAGAGAGAAATAAAGACAGAGATGGACGGAGAAAAAGAGGATGGGAGAGAGAGAGAAATACGATGAGAACGCATCTAAAAATAATGTCTCGACGTTACATGAATAATGCCCGAATGCGGAAGTCGTTAAATGGTCGATACATCATTCCGACATCGTTTTCTTCCACGGTCGCGTGCGCGTGTATATGCGTATACATTATTACCGCGTTGTTACACGCTGTCTATGGTCTTTCGGACGTTTCGTCGAAATTCAAATGAAGCGAGAGGATGAAAGAAGATCTCGGAATGTAGCGGAGAAGCTAAAGTGACGTGGAACGACTTCGAGGAATCCCGACACAGCGGAGATTTAAGGCGAGCAATATGCGATCTCTGTGTGCGTTCCCCCTGCCCCCCCCCCCTCCTCCGGTTGACGTTGCATGTCGAATCGCACCCGTGAAAAATACGAAGGCAAATACGATCCGATGATAAACTGTCGTAGTCTGAGAGAAAGAGATCCGAGATATGCCCGAGAAATTTTCCGGCAGGGAAGATCGATAACCGTGTGCGCGCGCGCGCGAATAATGTCACGCGCGAATCTGCGAGGAGTAAAAAACTTTTAAAAATTCACATCGATTTCGCGGTCGTCGAACCGCGTCGCGGGCGGAGAGAAGAAGAGCCTTACCTGCGGCTGATACGCGTGCATGGGATCGTGCTGCTGATGATGCTGCTGCTGCTGCGGTTGTTGCTGATGCGAATGGGGATGGATAGCCGGTATGTCGAAATCCTCGTCGCCGAAACTCGGCGTGTGAAATGTCTGGAAGCAGAAAGAAACACGCGTCACAAACGAAAATCCGCGACTCTGGCCCTTCGGGCCCGCACGAACTGGAGGAAGGGAAAGGAAGAACGGCGGGGAAGAGGAGAAGGAGGACAGAGAGGAGAAACACTAAAATTTATACACCCTCGCTCACGTCGGAATATTGCGCGTTCCCGCGCGACTTTCCCTCGTTAGCGAGTTATCGTTAGCGAGCGGGAAGAAGCTTTTCCTCCTTACAATTGTAGCGTCTCTCCGCTTGGAAGGAGCGAGCGAACGAGGGAAGCGAAGAAACGACAGAGGAAAGGGCCTCACTTTGGGGGCGAGGGGCGAGGAGGAGCCCGACGTGAAAGTAGAATCAAAGAATCAACCTTCCTCCGTCCCTCGGCGGGATGATAGATAGCGTTATATTGTTCGGAATCCTTTTAGCAATTTATTCCCCTTCACAAAAGGGAAGGAAAATAAATTTGCCGCGGCGCAACGGTGGTAGGGAGAATAAAAGTTTCGAAATTGGATTTAATAGCGTCAGGAATTTCCCTTTGAAGAAACACGGCTCTGCCTATCGATCGCCGCTGTTGTGTGTACCACCACCACCTCCTCCTCCTCCTCCTCCTCTTCTTCCTCCCTCACTCTCTGTCCCTCCATTTCTCCCTCTCTCCCTCTCCCACTCTCTCTCTCTCTCTCTCTCTCTGTATTTTATTTTCCCGTTATTAAAGCGCATCGCATCCGAAACGACTAGCGACAGGAAGCTAGTCGAAATCGGAATCCGAGTAACTGCGTGCCGCGCGTGATCGCGCGACACGATATATATATATATATATATATATACGCACATGCAGAGAGAGAGAGAGAGAGAGAGAGAGAGAGAGAGAGGGGGAGGCGCGGGGATCAGGTGCCGTTGCGCGTAAACCAGATTTATACGTGCCATTAATCGTTTTATTACGCCCAATTCCGCGGATCGTTTATCGCGAAATCCATTTTACGTTTACGCGCTCGTGACATCGTTACTCGATACTCGGCGGTGGACATTACGATCTAATTTCGTGCGAGCGCGCGCGACAACACGCCCGGCCGGAAGCACCGCCGTCGCCTTTTCTCGACGGAGACGATCGTCGCTTCCTTCCGCTTGTTCGCGCTTTTCTACTTTTCGACGGGGGGAATTCGAAAGCGCTCGCTCGCATACTTGAACTCACTTAAACCGCCGCGCGCTGCGACAGCGTCGCGCGACGCGTCATTTTTCACGGCGCGCGACTACCGCTTCTTCTTCGGTTCCCTCCTCGCCGAGTGAGCTCAGGCCCGATATTAGATTCGCGCGACTCGCATCGAATCGCAGGTAAATGCAGAGACAGTGGGAGAAATGGAGGAGAGCGAGTGGAGGGTGCGCGGAGATAGATAGATGGAGGAGCGGCGGGTAAAGCGCGAGAGGTAAGAGAAAGGCGACCGACGAAGAAATATCGTTCTTCCTCTCGTCCTCGTCCTCGTCGTCGTCGTCGTCGTCTTACTCCACCTCCTCCCCCACGTCGTAGTCGTAGTCGCAGTCGTAGTCGTCGTTTTTCTTTTCCTCACTGTGAACTAAACTCGTTCCGCCATCTCGTTAAAACTTGCGCACGACTCTCGCAACTTGGTTCTTCTTCCTGAAGAAATATTATTTAGATGGTTTCCTGGTTACGTAACCAACCACCCGTTCGTCGTCTCCGCCTCTCCTCCGCGAAGGCCCCTGCCCTCCTTGTCTGTTACGACACCCCCTGGCCCCCGCCTCTCCTCTCCCTCGCTTGCCCAACTTCGATTCCACGCTCTCACGTATACAAATTACATATTATTTCAATACGAACGCCGTTACCCCCGCGGTAAACTTTTTCTCTCGCGCGCGAGCAATACGCAATTTTCGAGTAAAGAGCGAGCTGCTGGAGGCGCTACGTCGATATCGGCTGGAAACGAGAACAAACGTTTTCTCGCGAGGAGCTGTCGGCTGGAAAATAAGAATTAACGGCTGCTGACAGAATCGTCCTCGTCGTCGTCGTCGTCGTTGTCGGCGTTGCAACATTTTAACGAAGCGAACGTTTTAGAAAGCGATTCGGAGAGACGGACAAAGAGACCAGCTGCAAAGTAGGAAAAAAACCCGAGCGTCTCGATATACCGACCCGGGAGAGTCGTCGTATATAATTAATGAAAGCAACGGAGAAAGTGCGAGCGAGCGTAACGCGATGTTAGCGACATTGAGAAAGAAAGGGAAAGAGAGAGAGAGAGAGAGAGAGAGAGACGTGGCGAAGAAAAATTAAGCGTAGAATTAGATAAAATCTCCGAGTCTACAAGACTTTACCGCTCGGAGGCGAACGCACGTCGCGCTATTATATCGCATTTCACATACCGACACGTTCGACGTAAGAACGATACGCGAGAATTAGACGTCGTCCTTCGGAAAGGACGACACAGAGAAGACGTCCAACGGCCGGATGATGATCGCAGAGGGAAGAAACGGGAGGCGCGGTGTCGGCGGAACCGAGGGGAACGTAAAAACGGAAATTGGATCAACTTTTTACGAGGGGAGGGGGAGAGAGGGGGAGAGAGAGAGAGAGAGAAAGAGAACGAAGGCTTTCTAAGTGTAAGGACGCCGTAAAGAAGCTCGACTCGCAATAATACCGTTCCGTGTACAGCTTCCGTAACGACGCTGCGAGACGTGCCACTCCGCGCGAAACACGAGCGAATTGCCGGAACTTTCGTCGGTTAATCTTTTCCATCGATCGGGACTGTGTAACAACCGGCGAGAGATACAGTCGTTCCTCCTCTCATTGTAGCGACGATCGCGTAATACCCTCCTCCTCCCGCGCCCCACCGCCCCCGCCCCGCCGGCGATGCATAATTAATCGAGGCACGATTCTTCTATTCTCCTGAAACATTTATAACGCAGGTGTGTGCGTAGGAACAAGCCGCGCGCGTGCGCAGAGTCTTTTTAATATTGAAGAAAAAAAGTATGGCGGGGGGGATAGAGAGAGAGAGGGAGAGAGAGAGGGAGAGAGGAGAGGGAGGGAGGGAAGGAGGGAGAGAGAAAGAGAACGGTACGGCGATTGGAAGATTAAAAATCTCCGCGGAACGTTACGATCTAATTGCGACCGATTAAAAACTGACTCGTGTTTTTATAAACTCGCAAAAGTGATGTCATCCAGCGCGCCTCCAAGGCTAACCGCTGGCAGGCAGCTTGAGCTCAGCCTTGAGGAGACACACATACTGTTTTCGTCGTTACCGTTTCAGATTGTAATTACCTATTGAATCACTCCGCGGGATTTAATGTTTCAGCTTCCGATATAGCTCTCCTCCTTTTATTACCTCGAGTGATTGCGCGAGAGCTCTCCCCCCCCCCGCCTGGCTTTCTCTCTCTCTCTCTCTCTCTCTCTCTCTCTCTCTCTCTCTCTCTCTCTCTCTCTCTCTCTCTCCTCCCTTCTGTCCTCGCCAAGGTAAAGGTTACGACGCGGGAAACGCTTCCGGCCGTTAATGACTCGCGAGAATTCGTCCGCTAATTAAGATGCGAGCCGCTAATTAATCGTATCAAATCGCCTGAAACGCGCGCGCTCGCACGGCCGATGTGACAAGCTGCGAACTTGTCCCCGGGTAATCAGTTGGCGAAGCCGCTATCGATCGACTCGCGGAAATTGGTTCGTTCGTTATCAAGCGATTTACGATCGCTAATGCCGCGCGAATCGAAACACGCGGCGCGCGCCCGCGCGCGTTTATTAAACAATGAAATTATAACCGCTGGTTATTTATCGCAGATTGCCAATTACCGGACACGCTTAGATTGGGGCTGGTCGGCTCGATTGAACGCGCGTCCCGTATACGATCGGGACGATACTGCGACGAGGGTAAAGCCCGTGTCACACTACGGATTGAAGATCAAGGATCGCGGATTGAAGATTGAAATTCGACCGGTCGGAATAAGGCAAATCAAAACCGAAGTTCGTTGATTTGTCGAAATCCGCAATCCTTGATCTTCAATCCATAGTGTGACACGGGCTTAACACCACACGGCAATCGCGCCGTGCGTGCGTGCGTGCGTGCGCACGATCGAGAGCGAGGGGCGGCAAAGGGAGGGAGGGAAGGAGAGAGGGAGGGCGCGAGCGAGCGGGTCTCACCCCGCTCTCATTTTTCGGATTTTCCTTCCATTTCGACGCGACTGTCGATACACGAGATTAACCTATTCCGGATTCATGAAAAAATGCGCTGCAACAGCGGGATTATTTCGATCGCGTCGCAACGGACGACCACCCCCCTTCATCGAGTCGACGGCGAGCGACGGCGTGGTCGCCGTCGCGGCGGTGTCCGCTTCCTCGTTTGTTTGCCGGCTTAAACGACGAGGGAAACGAGCGGACACGAGTGTCTTCCTCTTCCTCCCCGTGCGCACACGCGCGAGCACCTGTAATGAAAATGAAGAAAATCCGATCTGGCGAGGGAGTTTGCCGGCTTCCCTCGAGCGATCATCGGCGCGGCCGAGCGAGGTCGAAGCTGCCGAAAGAGAGTCTCGGAAATGTGAGGCCGGAGGACGATTTGCATTTCAATGTAATTAGAGGCTATCAAAAATCCGGCGTCTCTCGCGATTGGCCGGCGGACCGGTGTCTCGTCACGCTGCTTTTTCTTCCTTTTCCCCACCACGTGGCACCGACTTGCGAAAAGGTTTCGTTCACCTTGAGATTTCAATTTCGCGTCGCACCTCCGTGCGCGCACCTCGAGACCTCGAGTAATTCGATCGCGCTATTTGCGCCAACACGCGCGTCGCGTGAACAACGCGGCGGCAATTCGCGGCTAGTAGACCTAACAGAGAAGAGAAACAAAAAGAAAAGGAAAAGGGGAAAGGGAGAGCATAAGCGACTTACGACTTGCGTTGCACGAGCAGCCAGACCGTAGTGACTGCCAACGGATCGTTCGTTCGCTCGCTCACTCGCGATTCACTCACCTGGTCGGACATGTTGTAGCCGTCGTGATGATACGATGTTTGGTGATGCTGCGGAACGTTCAAGGACAGGTCGAAGTTATCGTTCCTCTGCAACAGACGGAGACGGGGATTATTTCATCGGCGCGCTAATTAGCCGCAGCGCGCGGTCGGTCATTAACAAGCGGAAATCGGAACAGGCGCGTCTAAGGCCCCGCGACGATACTCTCTCTTTCTCTCCCCCCCCCTCTCTCTCTCTCTCTCTCTCTCTCTCTCAACCCTTCCGATGCTTTCACTTTTCACGCGTGACTTTGATTTTTCGGAGCGACGCGCGTCCACCCCGATGTAGTCCGACGGTTCGTGACGAGATGGAAAAAACTTAGCCTTGAGCGGCCGTCTCTCGACTTTGCTATCCGTAACTGACGAAGCGTATCCACCATCTGGTCCAAGCGGAGAATTTGACGAATTTGACCAAGAAGATTGAGACTCACGCTTACTTTCGCAAACGCAACGTCAAATTACGGACGACTCTCTCCGGTCCACGGCTGCGAGTAGCGTTTGGCATAAGGTTTCAAACGAAACAGAAGGGAAGGAGTCTCGCGATCGCAAGGAACATCGAAGAACGCGACGTCGGACGAGCGGAAACAGCTCTGGCCTCGGCGGGGTTGCGTGCCAATAATCCGATAATTCGTGCCGGCGGCATCGACGCGCCGCGACGCGACGCGACGCGACGCGGCGCGGCGCGGCGCGGCGCAAACGAACGGGGGAGTCCGCTCGCGGAATTTGCAGAAAAGCTCGCTCGCGCTCGCGCGCGTGCCCGTAATCAAGATAGTTGCGAGTGAGTTATGCCGACGGGCGATGTTTGACATTTCGTAGTAACGGCAGTCGACGTTAGCGAAGGCGTTAACCGCGTTCCTGCTGGAACAGCGGTCACGGAACGGGAACAATGCAGCGAGCATAGCTCGCCGTCCCCTTCGTTCCCGTAGGAATGTCATGTGTGCGTGTCTACGACCTCTTAAAAGCGGTTTTAGGCCCACGAAGCACGAAGGACCGATGTCGATGCAATGTCGATGACCGGGGCTGCTCGAAGCAGGGTCGGCCGTTACGAACGAATCCCAATGTCGTCGGTGGGGAGGGGGGGGGGGAGTGTCCGCGACGATATCCGCGGAATATCGCGCTCATATTTAGCGTTAAACGCAAAACACCCGTGGACAGCAGCAGTAAGAGGAGGAGGAGGAGGAGAGGAGAGGAGAGGAGAGGAGGAGGAGGAGGAGGATAAACGGGCCATCGGGTCGAGAGAAAGTTACGCGCTTAAGACACGTCTCGCTGTCACGAGCCTCGTGTTACGCCACGCAACGACCGTACGGACAGGCGCATAGTCTTTATTAACCCAAAGATGTTAGACTGCGGTTTACGCCGGGTATGCAATAACGTATGTGAAAGTGCAAGTCGCAAGCGGTAACGAGCCTCCCGATACGCGGCCGTCCACGCCCTGATTTTTCCATCGGAGTCCCCCGCGTATCTTCGTCGCCAGCTCATCTCGTCTCTCCGTAGACTCTCCCCCTCTCTCTCTCTCTCTCTCGCTCTATTCTCGGTAGCTCTAAAATATACTCCCGTCCTCGACTCGTCGACCAGCGACTTTCTTCTCACGCGGTTATCTATGATTGCGTTCGCGCGGAAACGACTACGGAAACCGATAATCGAGTTTGCGAGAAACGTTCGGCGAAAGTTCGTCGTCGCTGATTATTCCCTCGCCGTGGATTTGTTAAATCTTTCTTCTCTCCCGCTTGATAATTCACTCTTTCTATGTGTGGAGAGAGAGAGAGAGAGAGAGAGAGAGGTTGTTTAAATTTAGCAATTTTTTAATTAAATCTCCCAGATTTATTTATTTCGTGCCGTGACAGAGAGAGAGAGAGAGAGAGAGAGAGAGAGAGACGCGGCTCGTGCCAATTTATCAGCAACTACAGCTGATTTTTATTTCTCGATCTCTATCAATCTCTCCCTCGGTCTCGCTGGTTGCCGATTGAAAAACGATCCGCGTAGAACGTGACGCGCAATGAATACAACGAGAGCACAATCAATCGCGCGGCTCTCGATCTTCGATCGAACGGGAACAGAGAGCTAGGATGCTACTACACCCGGCCCGAGAGGGAAGAGGGAGCGGGCGGGCGGGCGAGAGGGTAATAAGAGGGAGCGCGACGGCGCTTGTGGGAAATGCATGAAATGCAAAATTATACCGAACGGTAAATAATGCATCGATGTGCACCGGCACTCGGAACATGCGTGCGTACCGCGTTGTTCAACACGACCATGAAAAATGCATGCATGCACGCGCGTACGAGACACGCGCGCGCGCGCACTCACGACACGATCTCCGCGGCTCCCAATGCGGCCGATATAAAACGCCGAGGATGAGAGAGAGAGAGAGAGAGAGAGAGAGAGAGAGCGCGAGAGGGAAGTGAAGGACCGACGAGTTCTTCCATCAGCACCGCGCATCGGCCCTCGAATTTCGTCCTCGAAAATAGATATCTTGTGACGGCGACGCGCGCGCCAGCTACGGTTTCGCTATTATCAATCTTCTATTTTCCTCGGCTCTGCCGCGCTCGGCGGCAGCAGCACCTCACTCCACTTCGCCGGCATTCAATCGCGAGATATTCGCCGGTTTCACGGTTCGCTCGCGTCATTATACTTCAGTTACCGCGCGCGCGCGCGCGCGCGCCTTGTCGGATAAAATAAATATGCAACCGCTGCACATGCCACTCTCTCGCCGGCGGCGGCGGCGGCGGGATGCCAACGACCGGTCGAAAAAGCAGTTTGCGAGAGGCTTAGCCCGTAATTCACGGCGCGTTATGACGACAACGATGAAGCGATGACTCTCCGGCGTTCGCCGCGGCGAGCGCCGCGAGGGATATTCTTCGTCGACTTTCGCCGATTACGATTACGCGCTTTTTACCCGGATGGAAATGTCTCGCCGGACTGAAAACGAGACCTTGGTGGTGACTCTACGGGACAAATGGATGGATGGACAGTCATGATGATAATGACGACAATGACGTACACGCGGCCGTGCTGCGGACAATCGCCGCTCACGCCTAATTCCGACGCAGCTCGCCAACTAATCGGCACAGCGCGTACATATCGCTGTCTCTCTCGCGTTATTAATACGACGAGTCGGTAATTGCGTTAAACTCGCGCGGAATGTCACGTCATTATGAGATCACGACTAGGAATTGCCAAGACTCGGCTGCTCCTCTCTCTCTCTCTCTCTCTCTCTCTCTCTCTCTCTCTCTCTCTCCCGTGCGGTCGCGGCCGTTTACGTGGCCCATCGCTGCTGATCCTTGGTCTTTCAAAACGATGAGAGCAAGGACGGGCGACGATCACGCATTCACGAAATTTCGGTGTCCTTGTTAGCGGGAGGCTCTCCCGCGGCTTTTGCGGATTCTGCGGTGACGCGGCGCAGCGGTTGCGCGTCCCGATCGAGCTGCGCTCCAATGCACCGCATGCAGAAAAAAGGTGTTAATCTCCCGCCGCAAATTGGCATTGATTTTTTACCGCGCCGAGGAAAAACAAATTTAATGACCGTGATGTGTATAACCGGTCGTATAAAAAATGTCGTTATCAACATACTATGCATACTATGCTATAATACTAGCAATGATTCTGAGTCGCCGTACTAGCAATTATAGTCGCAAATATCAAGCATCTTTTTCTCGCTTTGCGAGAACGCTCGCACGACACAACGCGCACGAGAACGCGCGACCTTGCGCCATAAAGACACGCACAATGAGCGTTACATATACAATGCGTGTGTTCGATTCAATATATTAATACGAATGAGGAGGCGACGTCACACGCGGCGGAGCTGTTACACGATGCCGATTTTTTGGCGGACGAAAAAGCGACCTCGCGCGGCACCTCTCCCTCTCCTTCCCTCTTCCTCTCATTCTCCTCCGGTGCCCGCGCACCGGACATTTTCCTTCTTCCGCGCAAATTCGACCGAAGGGGAACAAGGTGCGCGCGCGCGACATGTCTCTTTTTCTTTTTCCTTGCGGATTTTTTTCTTTTTACCTCTTTTTTTATCAAGCGCGTACAAATGTACACACATATACACACGCGCACAGGACAAGACACAGGTTTACGCGGTGCGTTAATTATTCCGAGAATCCTCCTCCCGCCGATGCAAAACGGCGATATGATGTCGGGTTTTGCAATAACCAATAACCGGAGGAGGGCGCGCGGCACGCCTCTTCTCGCGATGATAGTATTATAATCTCGAGGAGGCACGAGAGACGCGACGACGAGCTTACACAGACAGGCACACTTCTCTCTCTCTCTCTCTGTACAGCCACATAACGAGTTCCGCGGCGCGGTGGCGGGCAAAATCTAGAATCTTCATCTTCCGTCTCTCGCGAGAGAGCCCGGCGAATCGATCGCCCGGAGCGATAGAGAAAATGGAATTCTCTCTTCATGGGAGAATTCTGACATTTTTAATTGCGCCAGTCCGCGACCGATCTTCCTTGCCCCCCTCCCCCTTCCCCTCTCCCGCGCTTCCTTTTTATCCGCAGCCTGATGGACGTCTCGAAAGAATCGGACGACAGACTCGATCCGTCGTAAGCGATCGGTATGGCTTCTCGTCTCATCGCGGTGCTTTGACGAACAACCGAGGGATTGAACAACGCGAAATGTACAACAACTGCGCGCGACGCAGATACGATATGTTCGTAAAAAGGTTAAAACGTAACGTAAAAAAGCGACATGAAGAATCGACCGGTCGGAGCCGGACTGACCGCGATCGAGAGCGATATCATTGTGAAGCGGCGAGAGAGGTCCGTGATAATCCCGAATATTTTTATGATCGTATCGCTATTCGGTAATAGTACAAAAGAGTGGGAATGAGAGAGAGAGAGAGAGAGAGAGAGAGAGGGAGAGAAAAAACGAAAGAGAGAGATGTGACAAGTGCTTCGCTAAACATTATCGTTGTAGGCGTTCGTGTTATCTGAAACTTCGGTAAAACGGGGTTAATATCCTGTTTACAGAACTCGAACGTCTCTTATCGCGGTAATAACTTACAGCGTCGGTTATTTACTAAATGGCCTCGATCGTACTCGAGA